AACAAATTAAGATACTCATGGGGTTTGACAAGCATACAAGGCTGTGTCTCATCCTGGTTGGGAAACACCTCACAACGTCCCATCCCACAAATGTCAATGTAGGGGTATTTGTGGGAATTACACAAATGAAAATATGGAAGTGGCAGTAGAATATTAATCCATCCATCCAAGTGCGTATTGTGTTGGGCCTGAAAGCGGGCTAAGAGCGGGGAACGGTGACCCGCACCCACCCGACAAATCCCCGTTTGAACGGTGCAGCGTGGGGGTTCTGTATGGACTACGACTAACAACTTTTTCCCCATTTTACGTAGATTTTTTTTCCAGTCCATCTAGACACAAAAAACAAACAAAAAAGAAGAAGTATTCCATGGTGCCTTTGGGGCTCCACCGCCACCAACACTAGCTCCTTTCTTGCGGCCGCCACCATTGTTTGGGTTGCTTCTTCTTCTTTTGTTTTTTCTTTTTCTTTTTGGCCTTTTGACTTGTGAGCTCAAAGTATTTAAGAATGTCAGGCCAAAATAAGAAAAGTAATTAAGAATGATTACTAGGGTTTTGTAGACTAGTGTCGACCTTGCGGAAAGTTTGATCCTTTTTTCTTTTATTTTTATCGTTAAAATATACAATATTTATTTCCTCTCACAAAGTGGGTAAGTTGTGTTTCCTGTTATGGAAACTCAAAAGCTAAATTCGACTTTGTTAAGGTTTGTTTATTTGGGGAATATGGTTGGGGTGTTCATATGAGAACTAGCTTGGTTGATCAAACAATGTCAAATAGAAGAGGAAACAAAACGACATTTGGAGGCGGGCAACGCCTGCCTAGGGCCTTCAAGTCGAGAGGGCCCCAATTTCTATAAACCTCTATATATATATATATATACATTATTGAAAAAAATTGTATTATATTAATATTATGTTAGGCCTAAGGATTGTAAAAAAAAATCCAATTATTCACTCTAAAACTAACAAGAGAAACTCAATAAAGTTGTCATGTGAATTACATATTGTTTATTTGTTTGATGGTTCGCCTAGGGCCTCCAAAACATTAGAACCACCCATGTCAAGAATGCACCAATTTAGCGACTTAGAGCCTTTCAAAGAGTTTTCGAATTGTCTAGTTTGGTATGCTTTGAGAAGTCTAAAAGAAAGAGTTAGATGAGCTAGAGTTAATTACGGTTACATTGTTTTTCGAAGTTTTCATGGTGATAAAAATAACTTCACTTTTGGTGAAACTCGGTTGATAAATCGAGTTTGTCTTAAATTTGGGCAAAAAGCTCTTGAAATGTAAACAAAAAGAAAAAACGTGTTTCAGGCCTTATTCGTTTGGGGAATAATATGGAAGTTTTTTATCTTTTTTACTTTTTGGTGATAAAAATATGAATGTTGTGATGATGTGTAACAAGGAGATTCGTCAATGAGAAAGAATAAATAAAGCATGCCCCAAATATACAAGAACCAAATATTTTGATTTTATAGGTGAATATGATAGAAAATAGGATCATTTTTTATTTTATACACATTAATTTTAATCAATCATGAAATCAAATAAATAAAGTAGAATCATGAGATGAAACCGGGGTGTGTGATGAGGTGGCCCCAAGTAGCGATGATGCTGGGCCGTTCACAGCCGTCCGATAAAAGAGCACAGATTTTTTTATTTTTTTATTTTCTATCATGAGCCGGCGGGAAGTGGGGTTTAGAGTTCATCACTTCATGCGCGCGTGTTTCTATTAAGCATGCGGGAAGCCGATCGAGTCATCATGGCGCGGCTCGAGCCGACTGTGTCATAAAGGCATGAGCACGCTACGGCGGCGTTTTGCAGAGCAGACTTCGTAAAAGTAAGACAAATCATAAATGGGCCTCCATTTTGCACTGGTTGGATAAATATGCGGTCCATAATTTTTAAAAAATAAAAAATCCAATCGTATCTCTCATTGGGCTTTGTTAGCCTCTTAACCTCACTCGCCTATGTGAGACTGCAACACAAACTCGCTTGGTTAGAGCTTTGGTTGGATGATGTGGGGTTAGATTGAGAGTGGGATTTGGTATGATCAGTTAAATTTGAATTTTGGAAAAAATTAAAGGAGGTGAATATTATATTTTATGGAAGAAGAGATGGAAAGAGGAAATTAATTGGGAAATTAAATTTGTGGAATTATTGACTGAGATTTGGATCTGACCCTCAGCCGTTATAAAAAAGCATATGCTATTAAGAAATTGTGGAAATTAAGAAGCTGCTGCTGCCATCGTACAAACTTGAATGATCCCATATCTACCAAGGTATAACCCAGAAAAAGAACATTTAATAAAAAGTATTTATTTTATAGTTGAAGTTCATCTTGGAATATAATCGTGGTTGTACCAGATTTTTGATAAAAGCGATAGTATTTTATTGTTAAGAGTATTTACAATGGTAAGGATCAATACAATTTTATTGCATGAAATTGAACTATAACAATAAAATCTCACTTGTAACTGTGTGATTTAGTTCATTGCAATAGAGGGTGCTATGTGATGAATTCTCTATTAAATTACAATAAGCTAACTGTAGAACCCACATCCTAATAAACTGTATCATTGCAAGTAAAACTGCGGTTTAATTCAATAAATGTGAAAATAGTTCAATAATTGAACTATTGAACAACCATTGCGGATGCTTTAAGATAAACAAAAACAAGTATAAAGTAATTAAGGTGCCGAATATGAATACAACTTCTCCATTGACTAAATGCAACAAGAAGTTGAATTTATCTGGAAAAAATACGCATAACCCAAAAAATGATTAAATTCCTCGAATCAGCAACCAGAAGCACATGTACTCAAACTTGATAAAGATTTGTCGTGTAATGGCATAAACGACAAAACTGTATCAAAAGCCAAAGGTCGAAAGGAAATAAAATATCCTTAAAAATAAAAAACCACATCAAACTTCCAAAGAGATTATGAGAATTATTAGACTAAAACAAATTAAGAAACAAGATCACCGCTCGACATCTTATTGGGCAATCCGAAGAGAGCCATAACGCCATACCAGCTAAAACCATAGTGCCACACCGACTAAACCTGAACCCAACACAACCCATCATCATGTAGCTCCAAATCTATATTGAAGGCTGACAACTGGACTAAGGATTTTTCTTTAGGATTTTCTGAGAGAGTAGCGATTAGGTTTTCTCAAAACAACTCCATTGAAAGAGTAAAATTAGATTTTGGTTGTATGAGGCTTATGTGACCATATCATGTAGGGGGCAGCAACTAAGGATTTTTCTTTAGGGTTTTCTCAAATAGTAGCGATTAGGTTTTCTAAAAAAAGCTCAATTGAAAGAGTAAAATTAGATTTTGATTGTACAAGGCTTATGTGACCATATCATGTATGTTCTTGTTTAATAATAAGAGAGGGGATTGGAATTTGAAATATTTAGTCATTGATCCATGTGATTCCGTCTCTTATAACTTTGACGAGAGTGTTTATCATGTGAACTACTACAACTTATGTGCTCATATCATGTGTAATTTTTTTAATCAATAAGAGATGGAATTGGATTTTAGAACATCTAGTAGTTGATCTATTTCACATGTGCGCATCTCTTATAACTTGGCGGGAGTGTTTAGCATGTCAACTACTAACGAAAATTTTCGGGCTCACTCTTATAAAAAATATGACTAGCAATGTAACTAGTAAATTTATCATGTGAATTACTAGTGAGATTTCCTAGATTCACTCTCCTAAGAAATGTGATTAGTGATGTAACTAATAAATTCTATTTTTTTTTTCCATTCGAAACTAGAAAACCTAGTACTAATTTTATTTTTTTGGTTACAAAAACCTAGCACTATTTTAGATTGAATGAAAAAAAGGCTTACTATTTTTCATTATTATTTTTAATTTTTTCTTTTTTTGGGGTATGAAATTGAATAAAAAATTATCTTAGCCGTTGAAGCTTTCGGGCTATAAAAGGCGAGGAGGATTGTTTAATTGAGTCCCTCCCTAGTCCTTTCCTTTGTGATCAGAACAAAGTCTCACTCGCTCTGTGATCTCCAACTACTCTGTCATCCAAAGAATCGAATCGATATTGGAATACAGGGAATTGGGGGAGCTTCGTCTCTTTCACCCTTTTTATATTTACTCTCCACACCCATCTTTCTCTCTAACCAAAAGAGAAAGGGGAATTTCAAAGCCAAAGAGCAAAACTTAAAAAGCAGCTAGCTAGCTATACAGCAAAACCAACCAAACAAAGCCAATTGTTTATATGCATTTACTAGAATAAGAGCGAAAAGGGTCTTTTCTTCAACCTCTGCCAGCACCTTTGAAGCACTTACACTCAGTGATTTTCTTTTTCCTGCTTTTGAGGGCTCTCGCCGTCTTCGGGTTCGGCACTCTTCCTTTTCTCACTAAGCAAATTGGTGGCGCATTAAAGTCTGGCTTTTACAGTCTTGACAGAGCTAGACAGAGAAAGATCTTCGGCTGGAGATTTGTAATTATTATTTGAAGCGCAGCATTTAAGGCCACTCTCTTCTCTGCTAAGTCTTGGAATGAAGAATTCTTAAATCCCACCTGCACATAATATAAGTCCTGTTTTTTCTCATTGTGAAAACAAAGGCAAGTGACATTTCATTTGGCTTGGAACAGAGTGATAGATCGATCTGTGTGAGTTCATTTCATATCTTTGCGAGAAAGTGACATTTCAATCAAGGTATGGTAGTTTAAAATGGTATTGGGTTTGTTCTCTTTTAGGCAGCTAGTTCGTGAAAAACATGTTAGAGGCTGTACCCCTTTGGTTTTTTTAACTAATCTTTTTCTTGAGTTTTCTGTATTCTTTGGAAGTTTCAATTTTTTTAAGTTTGGAAGGAATTATATCGGAGTTTTTCGATCTGGGGTCTTATTGGCTTTCGTTTTCTGGGGCTGCGTTTGGTTATAGTTTCTTTTGTCTCATTTACTATCTTTTTTATGTTTCAGATCTACCAGGATTTAGACGTTGCCTTTTGAGAAAAAAACGGGGACAATGTTGGCTCAGAAGCAAGCAGAGGAAGCAATAGTCTCCAACTTTACCGAGGCTCATGATCATGAGGGAAAGGAAGATCATCATCAAGACAAGGAGGAAGAAAACACCTCCTTGTTTAATGTCAAGAACTTTCTCTGGCATGGTGGCTCTGTTTGGGACGCTTGGTTCAGCTGTGCTTCCAATCAAGTACACCCACCAACCCAATACAAAAGAGACTCCAAATTTTGCTTTTTCTTGACTCGCTTAACAAAACTTCTAATCCCTTTTAATTTCTGTTTCCCTTTTGCAGGTAGCTCAAGTGCTTTTGACACTGCCATACTCATTCTCTCAGCTGGGATTATTATCAGGCATCTTGCTGCAAATATTCTATGGAATCGTTGGAAGCTGGACTGCTTACCTGATCAGTGTGCTCTACATAGAGTACAGAAGCAGGAAGGAGAAAGAGAACGTTAACTTCAAGAACCACGTTATCCAGGTTGGTCACGATATACCATTTCTAGCTTAGCTTCTTTAACAGGACCACCACCCACCGCTAATGCCTAATCTTTAGAGCAAAAGCGTGTGAAATAAATATCCAAACTCACAGTGCCCAGAACCTCTTTCATCACTTTCCACTATGCTTAAATCACACAATACTGTTTTTGGTTGCAGTGGTTTGAAGTCCTTGATGGGTTACTTGGTCCATACTGGAAAGCTGTGGGGCTTGCTTTCAACTGTACCTTCCTCCTATTTGGATCCGTCATACAGCTTATTGCTTGTGCAAGGTGAGTCCTTTTTACATTTTTTAACATCTCGAATCATGGCAAATCTCACCTTGGGTTTTGCATAGTTTTAACTGTTGGTTTTTGCTTTTTTTTTTTTTTTTTTTCCTAACATATATTACATCAATGACAATTTGGACAAGAGGACATGGACCTACATCTTCGGAGCTTGCTGTGCCACTACAGTTTTCATTCCTTCTTTCCATAACTATCGGATTTGGTCCTTTCTTGGCCTTGGAATGACCACTTACACAGCCTGGTACTTGACCATTGCAGCTGTTGTTCATGGCCAGGTAAATCAGTCATCAATGCCCCGATCTTTTGATCTCTCAGTACAGCTACTATGTATTAATATTATTATCTTTCCAAAGATGCTTTCTTTTCCTCTTTACGTTTTCTGCTTGAAAAAAAGTTAAAAGTTCTGTGCTTGGTGAAAACTGTGCAGACTGAAGGAGTAACACACACAGCTCCCACAAAGCTTGTGCTGTATTTCACCGGCGCCACCAACATACTATACACGTTTGGCGGCCATGCTGTCACAGTGTAAGCTTTTCTTTTTTTTACCCTTTCCTGCTCTTTCACTTGTTTCTACACGGCTTCTCTTTGCAGCTTTTGCCGGCCTCTCGGGTTTCGAGATCCACAGACAAAATCATCTTATCTACTTTTGTTTGCTCTTGAAAAAACAACATTAACCCCATTTTTCTAGGAAAATTGTACAGTAAAATGGTCCCTATGTTTTACTTTTACTAAAAGAGAATACATGCTTCTCTGTTTCACTTAACCACTCTCCCTTTCATTTGTCTTCGCCTGGGGCATATAATATAGTTGTCTGATAGAGATTAGAAACTGCCACCATAGACTAGATCGTTGAGTTGCAGAACAGCTATAGAAAGATGTGACCTGAGGGCTCTTTGGTCAATTAGTTGGTTTTATTATATGTTCCCCATGTTCTTGTTGACCTTGTAATAGTTTTAATTGGACTACAGTATTAGCCAAATGTAAAATCCTTTTCTAATGTGAAGGGAATCTGATCAGTGAAATGTGGGTGGGAATTTTTCAGGGAAATCATGCATGCCATGTGGAAGCCACAGAAATTCAAGTACATCTACTTGTTTGCCACAGTGTACGTTTTCACACTTACAATTCCTTCTGCTACCTCTGTCTACTGGGCTTTTGGTGATGAGCTCCTCAACCATTCCAATGCCTTCTCTCTCCTCCCCAAGAATGCCTGGCGTGATGCCGCTGTTATTTTAATGCTCATTCACCAGGTCTGAAATTACTGGCTTACTAAAAAAATTACCCTTGATTGAATGAATGTTGTTTTTACTGTTTTACTGTGAACTGACATTTTGTGTTTTTGGGCACTGGTGCAGTTTATAACATTTGGGTTTGCATGTACACCATTGTACTTTGTGTGGGAGAAGGTGATTGGCATGCATGACACAAAGAGCATTTGCTTGAGGGCACTGGCTAGGCTTCCAGTTGTGATCCCAATTTGGTTCTTGGCTATAATATTTCCTTTCTTTGGGCCCATTAACTCTGCAGTTGGGGCTCTCCTGGTTAGCTTCACAGTCTACATCATCCCATCTTTAGCTCATATGCTCACATACAGAAAAGCCTCTGCTAGACAGGTAAATATAATTAAGCAGTTACAATTTCTACTAATTCGTATCATTGATATCAACATGTCAAATAATCTTATCGTCACACACACACACACACAAATTATCCATAATGATGATGTCGTTGTTGAGTGGCGGCCTGTAGTTATCTTGATTGAGTGGGGGTATCTTAGGCATTCTAGTTTTGAGTGGGCACCTCCACCTTTGTACGATGGTTGGCTACTCACATTCCAGTAGTTGCAGTTCAGAGAGAGAGAGCAGCAAGTGTACAAAAGTCATTTATGGCTTGGATTTGGAAATGTTACGAGAAGAATTGAGATAGGTGGCCAGTCCCTTTCGTTTAGTTATACTCTACAGTTGGGACACTTGTACCATGCCTCGGCTGAGCTGTTTGATTAGACTTTTTTCAATTAGGCACTGTGCAGTTTGGTTAGTTTGGTGGTGACTTTGGTCCAGCGGAAAACAAACCCAAAATAGAAAACTTGGTTTTTCTGTGGTCTGAGCATTATTTGCAGAGATTCATAACAAAACATAGAAACCGCAACGAACACTTAAGTGATTAAAAACATTTACCTCCACTAGAAGTCTTGTGTTGGAAACCCTCCGCTCCGAATATACCTATTGATTTTCCCTTTTCCATTTTACTGTGTTTTGCAGAATGCTGCAGAGAAGCCTCCTTTCTTTTTACCAAGCTGGACTGCCATGTATGTGATCAACTCCTTCATAGTTGTGTGGGTTCTGGTGATCGGGTTCGGGTTCGGTGGATGGGCCAGCATGACCAACTTTGTGAGGCAAGTGGACACATTTGGGCTCTTTGCCAAGTGCTATCAATGCAAGCCTCCAAAACCACTGCCAGCAGCAGCAGCTCCTCACCACTAAAAAAACTTCTTCACCCAAAGATCGATTTGAGCTCAAAACTCTCTCTGAATCTGGATATCTTCATATTTGTACCATACATGGGGGAGTAGTAATATTTCCCCTACATGTCATGTGTGCTGGATTTTGCTTTTTTTCTTTTTTCTTTTTTAATTTTCTACTTTTTTTTTGGGGTTAATTTAGTTATAATATAGTGTGTTGAGTTGTGATGATTCCATTCCTATCAAAAGCATAGGTTAAATTAATTAAATTAAAAAATATATATATGTATTTAGGTATTTCATTTTTTCCAACTTTTTCGGTGGGATTTTGTAAGATTTTGTTGTTCAAATTTGGTATAGCTTTCAAGGTCATTATTAGTAGCATGTTTCCAAAGTGCCTTGTAAAATGGCAACGTTATGGGCCTGCCTGGTCTCCATTTCCACGTGGCTTTATCTCAAGAGCTGTATGTGGACATGTTTTAATGGCTCCCATTGAGTCATTGACCTTCTTAGATTCCAATTTTACGAGAGCTGAGAAAGAATGGGGCGTGGACCCGCCCCACTTTCACATGGGTCGCACGTGGATGCCCTTATGTCACGTGTCATATCCTATGAAATTGCTGCTTGTGAACATGCATGAGATCCATGTGCTGTCTCCAAATTTGGTTAACTTCTGCATGTTTGGTTTTTAACCTGTCGAATGAGCAAGTTTCAGTTGAAGCCATTAGTCTCAATTTATATTCACGTGAACTTGGAAATATACTTTCTGAAGTAACTTGCTCCAATTGGACCAAACCAAGATCATCAGCAGTGGATTCGCATAAAAATAATGTAGATTTTTTTGAACCGCCAAAGCATCCAATTAGAGGCTGCTTGGTGCCGCTTCTTTTTCCACGAACATGGAGCATGACAAATTAATTAAAGAGAAGTAAAGAGAAAGGAGGAAGAAGAGGAGAAAGAAAAAGGAAAGGAGAGGGAGAAAGAAAGAGGTTTGAGTGAGTAGTGAGTCATCCTTGAATTGCTTTGCAAGATCTTGAAGGTTCTCGTAACTGAGACTTGGGAGCGGTGTTGGAGATTGTGGAAGAGTAATTTGGATTTAGCTAGCTTTGGAATTGAGGTAGGGAAATGGGATTATTTTAATTAAACTTTGGTGAAATATATTAAGGCTTTATATGTGTTGTGTGCAATTGTTATATTTGTATGATTTTATTTACGGTATGTTAATCATTAACTTTTGTAAGTTTATGTTTGTTGAATATTATTTCAAGAGATTCACTAGTCTAGTGGTTTGGAGCAATTGCTTCCTCAATATTCATGTAGTGTGTGTGAGTTTAATATATTATCGACCTTCTCAATACGAAAGGCGTTACGTTCAAATTTTTTATTTTAAAATAAAAAGAAATAACTTTCATAACTCACGTTTCATGTTTCTGAAAATTCTTTAAATAGGGAGTTATTAGTGACACATTAAAAAATTCATTATGCGTTCCTACCGTACGTTTTAATAAGGAAGGAAAAGTACATGATGACTTTTTGAAGTGCAGCACTTACAATAATTTTCATGTGAATATATATAATAAGGTTTATTTGAAGTTATAAATGACCATGAAGATAAATATTGAAAACAATGCGAAATGCATATTATGCATATAACAATAGATTAGGTTATGGAAATGAGAAAGTAAGATTTTGAGTAGTTGAGTCTAACCAATGCGTAGGAATTTGCCGAGATGGGTGAAGCTGGAAAGGCAGGGAAGAATGCTGCTGAGATGAGTGAATCCGGAGACGAAGGTGAATCTGCTAAGATCATTGGATCCAGAGAGGAAATTAAGGTAGTTGAGCTCAACAATTAATGTGTTACTTATTCATGCATCAATCAAATATATATATCTCCTATATGAGAGCACGAATATATGTGTGCTTTATATATGTTGAAAACAGGGAACCAGAAGAGCAAGCTATGAAAGACAATGGTCGATCAAGTGGCCAGCAGATACATTCGACGAGGTCGCAACATTCGACAACTTGAGCATCTTTCATGTTCCAAACAAACTTCGAAAAGTCGACGACAATGCCTACAGCCCTCGCATTATCTCAATCGGACCTTACCATCGTAAAAAAGGCAACCATGAGCTTGTCACAATGATAGAGCACAAGGGCCGTTACATGCGATACTTCTTTGACCAAATCAAAGATCCTCAAGAGAGCCTCCAAGTCCCACTTGAGTTCCATTTTCCGGTCTACAATCTAGACACAACGGTTCGCCGGAGCTACGCTGGGGGTGCTCGGGACCATGATGCCGAAAGCCTTGAACACATGGTGTCGTTTGATGGCATTTTCATATTGGAGCTCTTCCTCAGGTATGACCAATATTGCAAAAAAGTTCCCCTAATAGACCAATCTGATGCAATTTTCAACAATGGTTGGATGATCCCTGCCCTTAGGCGTGATCTCGCATTGCTCGAAAACCAGATTCCCTTCTTTGTTCTACAAGAATTGTACGACGTTGTCAAGCCTCGAATCGTTAACTACAAGCCGCCACACTCCATCACTTGCCTTGCTCTTAATTTTTTCGAACCTATGAAGGAAAAGGAAATGATAAAAGATGAGCCTGAGGGAACAGAGTACAAGCATTTGCTTGATCTCTTGCACAAATTGTACCACCCAGCTTCATGCCTTCTTAAAAACGAACCGCGAAGCAATTTCGAAAATTGGGGTTTCGATTTCTGCGCTTGTGATCTTTTAGAGGCTGGAGTTGTGTTTCTATGTAACTCGGACCACTCCTATAACATAACTTTCACTAAAGGAGTGATGAGAATTCCACAAGTGTATATTGACGACAGAACAACGTCACTGTTGAGAAACCTGATTGCTTATGAGCAATGCAGCCTCAGCAGCAAGCAGCACATCACATCCTACGCCATCCTCATGAAGAGCCTCATCCGTTCGCCGCATGATGTTACGTTACTTAGGGAACAAGGCATCATGAACCAGAATTGGATCAAGGACGAAGAGTATTTGACCTACTTCAATGGAATTCTAGATGAAGTTGTTGTGAAGGACTTTTGTTTTGGTAAGCTGTGCAAGCAAGTGAATGCCTACGCTAGCAAGTACTGGTTTCGGAGACGGGTGAGGTGCCTGTATAACACTTATTTCTCTACTGCTTGGAGTATGATTTCGTTCGTTGCCGCGGTTTGTCTTTTTGTTCTTACTATTGCACAAACATACTTCGCCATGCACCAAGCTCATCAGTAGCTAGCTATAGCTAATGCTTGTTTCATATACTCTGTTTTTTTAGTTAATGAGGTTGGGGCTGGAGAGTTTCTTTTGGTCCATCCTTTGAGTTTAATTAGTCATTGCTGTTATGTGTTTCAGATTCTTCCTCTATAACGAGTTCGTATGATCTTAATTTGTGTTTTCCCAATTGACCTATACACAATTATATGAAGCTTAAAATAGGGAGATATCAGCTCTGTCACTAATTGTATATACTTGTGAGTATTAATAAGAAATCTCTCCCAAAGCTAATACACTCAATAAGGAATGAATGTCTACATCAATAATCCAAAAAACAAAAAAGAGAGGAAGAGAGCTCATCATCTGCCTGGTTTTATGTGTTGTATTATTAACAATTCTAAACAATTACACGTAATTATAGGAAATCACAGTCATATCAACCAAATCCACAAGATTGACCTTTTTTGCTACTGGAATCGTCTGTGTCTCGGTCAGATATGATGGGCGACGAAGAACATAGAAGCACATAGAAGCTTTAATATTTTTTTTTTGGGTTCAAAGAAGAACATAGAAGCTTGGACTTGAAGTAAGCAAACCAGGAAAGTGACAAGCCCTTAGAAAATATGTCAGGAAGCTGAGTGTGATTGGAAGCAGAATATAGAATATATAGGTGAAGAGACTCATGATCTTATTTTAGTGGAAGGTATTTAAAGATGCTAGTGAGCTAATGGGGTTGGAGTCAAATCGAATGACTCAAATATACATTTATAATTGCAAGTTGATCTTAGATCTAGTCTTTGCTTCTGGGCTTATGTCACCACATTCCATATGCTAACAAACTAAGACTAATGTACTTAATGGATCATGAGTAGCATACGTGTCTGAAAAAGGAAAAGAAAATGGTAATGATATGAGCATAAGATAAAATATATTTTTAACTCGATCAAAGACCAAGTCTTCGTAAAGATTAAATAACTAAGTGGAGACTCTGGCGTTGTGAAAGGGAAAGCAAATATAAAATGTGTTTATTGTAGGTTGATTCTAGTCTCTATCTTTGTTGAGAGCATCCCACGTTGAAGCATGGAAGCTTTGTCGTAGTTCTCAAGGTTTTTTGTTTTCTTTTAAAAGTGATTAGCAAATTAATTAGTATGTCAAAGTTAGATTTATCAAAGCGTGTTAGAGCGAGGCGGTTGTCCATTCTTTTTTATTATTAAATTTTGAGAGAATCGTCTTTCAAGAAAAATGTGGGGATTCATAGTCTTTATATTTATTTATATGCCCTATGAACTAAGGAAAATTACTCATAAACTAAAGGCAATAATAATACTAATTCAATTCCCTGCAGGGAAGCTCAGATTAGTTCTCGACAGGACGACAAGGGGAAGATTTGATGAAAATGGGTGAGATAAGAGAGGAATTTCAGGTGACTTAACCTCTCTAGACTTTGCTTTTGAATAGACATTGAATAATTTGATTTTAAAGAAAAAGGATATAATCTCTTCATATTTTGGAGTCTAAGTTACAATTTTTTTTCTCTATCTTTCTTTCTCCTTATCCTTCCCCCTCCTCCTTTCCTTGTTCTGCATGATATAATGACCAATGTTTTCAAAGGCGAGGCGTATAGGTGATGCGTTTTTAGTAGCGCTATGAGAGGCATAAGGTTTTTGAACATTAATTTATTTTAATAAAAAAATTTATGAATAATACAATACAATTAAATTGTACAACTAATTCTTATTCAACCATAACAATCTTTTAAATATAATCAAATATAAGTACTAATTGTCATTCAAAGCATAATAATCAATCCCAAAATACAAAATATTTATTCAACATCAAAACAAATTATACAAGTATGATGCATGTACGTTAAAAAAAAAGACTTACTTGCAGTCAAAAGATGAAGAGAATTCTTGAAATTGATGGAGTTATATGATAAGGGTCTAAATTAGGGTTCTACATGTACTATACAATATATATATATATATAGTTCATGTGTTATATATAATTTAGAGAAAGGAAAAAAAAAAAAAAAAAAAAAAAAAAAAAAAAAAAGGTAAGTAGAAAAGCTACAGCGGGTTGGAGTCAGAAAAAAAAAGAAGTTATTAATTCCTGCAATAAATTTATTACAATAAAGGTAAGGAAAAAAAAACTGAAACAGCGTTTTTTCAACACCAAATGAAACGACGTCGTTTCACTTTAAGATTTTTTTTTAAACCATTGCAATCAAAACGACGTCGTTTCATGAGAATAAACCTGAAAAAAAAAGGCTTTATTGACACAGAAAGATAGGTGGAAGAAGCCTCATATGACCAAGTGTAAACTACCACAGTCGGTTGGTAGCCTTGCTCTTAACTTCTTTCATCCTGTGAGCCGAAAGGAAATTAAAGAAGAGCCTGCCGGTGCCAAGCATTTGTTAGATCTCTAGCACAAATTCTACTTCCACCCGAATGGTCAATTGCCATTCAAGCTTGAAATTGATTCGAACAACGAACGACTTTCTGCCTTGCAACGAGCAACTTCACGCCTTCTCGGCAAGATAAAAACAGAAAAGCAAACTCCATGCTTGCCTAGTCATCATCAACGTGATCCAGCAAGCACGGGAATGTGGGAATTTGATTATTGCGCTTCAGAACTTTTGGAGTCTGGAATTGAGTTTAAAGTTGGACCAAGCACCCAGCAATATTTATTGGACATAAAGTTCGAGGACGGGGTGATTATAATTCCTCAGCTGCGCATTCATGAGACTACAAATTCACTCTTGAGGAATCTGATTGCTTATGAGCAATGCTGTCTTCGGAGCACGCATAGTATTGAAGATATTTTGGAAGATATAGATTAGTTTCTGTACAGGATAGGTTGTAGTCAACACTCTACCTAATTGGTGAGTTGTGATTACCACCTTTTACTTGATTTAAGGTTTCCTTGTAATTAGTGTTGGCCTTTACAGCTTAATTTGTGGGTAAAGTCTGTGGTGAGGGTAAAGCATGTTGTCTGGTGCTGGTGGTTTCTTGCCCTTACTCAATATCTCTATATATTTGTGTATTGTGTAATTCTCCTCATGATGAAATATACAAACATTCATTGAAAATCAACACATAGGGTTACATCATATGTCTTCCTCTTGAAGAGTCTCATCAGTGCCTCAGGGGATAGCAAACTGCTTCAGGCAAGAAATATTATGGAGCACAATAATCCCATTCCACGTGACCGAAAGCTCTGTCACTCTCTCTCTGGTGTCCCTTCACTTCCCTTCGCCCTTGCCAACACTTCTCGTATCTAATTTCCCTTCCCAACTTTTCCTTTTTAAGTTTCCCGGGAAACAAACAGAAAGATTAGAGAACCCTTTCTTCGCGGTTTCCTATTTCCCTAGAATTTCACTTTTCGTTTTCCTATTTCTCTAGGAACTAGTTACTACGCTTTTTTAATTGTTGCTTTTGATTTGTTTCAGTTATTTATTTTAATTTTATATTTCTCATAGTGAAGTGGGGTTCCAATTGCTGTTCTGGAAGGTTTCTGTTGGACCATCCTATTCCTATGAAGCTGTTGTTTCTTTAGCCTGCAACCTTTTGCAATAAATAATAAGATTGAATGGAGGATGATCAGACTAGCCTCAACCACAACACTCTTCATACAAACAAAACAACCATCAGAGAATCACATTTTCCATTTTCACTTTTTGTATCTATCTGAGCCTCCACCTTTGACATACCCTGTTCGGCCCCAAGGGCATAGCCATTGTTCATTCTTTTGGGCCTTTGTTAAAAGCCTTTTTATAAACTTACGCCTGGCTCTCTCCCTCATGCTCTCAAAACAAGAAAGGGATGGAAAAATATTTACTCAAATTCTAGTACAATAAAAATTAGTTGCTTACACATATATACACACCATAAACTTCTTCAAAATTGAGAATCTTAACTGAAAATTTGTAAATTGGGGGACTTATTTTCCCAAATCCATCTTCTTGCTGCCATAGAATTAATAAAGAGAATAGACAAAACATAAAGCAAACAAATTCCAAAATTAAAAGAAATCATCAATCAACTGTTCAACAATCCGGACTTTAGTCTTCATTAGTAGGTTAATTGTCTTAGATTTGAAGTTTAATGAATAAGTGGGGCTTTTCTAAGTTTGGCTCTTATTAATTTTGGATTAAATAATAGGGCAAAACATAATATATATGTATATAAGTTTATATAAATTTGAGGCTCTAGACGGCTGCCTTACCTGCTTATGCTCAGGGCCGCCTCAGGTCAGATCAACTTTTCTCGGTAAAATATAATAGCATTTTCTTAGGTTGCTAAGACAATATAATAAGAATATATACTTAGAAAAAAAGATATAATATATATGGAAATATTATATTTTCGTAGTTTAGAGTTAAGATTCTTGTGGATCACACTGACGACCTAGGCCGGCATGTGCTGCTAAGACCATGTCCAATTAGCCGGTAAAAATATTAACAAGAGAAGCCATTTATTAAATTCGTGTAAAATTATTAACAAATTCTAATTCGACTCACTTGGAGCTCCCTTATGTATTTTTATTTTAAAGATATTGCTGGCCTTGCTCTCATGTTCTTTCAACCTTTGAGCAGAAAGCCGAAACCTAAAGATCAAGATGAGCTGGGGACAGATTTCAAGCACTTGCTTGATCTCTTGCACCAATTCTACTTCCAGCTGGTGAGGTGTCAATCAAGGTCAATATTAACAGGGAATTTATTTCCAACATTAAACTAGGAGAACAAACTACTTCCTGTCATTATTTCAGCAAAATATTCCAAAGAAGGAAAATGAAACACCTTACTTCGTCATGCCTTCCTGAACCTGATGATACAGCAATAAATAACAAGTGGGGATGCAATTACTGCTCTTCGGAGCTCTTGGAGTCTGGAATTCAATTTCAAATTGGGTCATGGGAGGACCATTTATTGAACATAACTTTCAGCAACGGAGTCATCAGCATTCCCACTGATCATCGACAAGACCACGATTTCAGTGTTCAGGAACCTCATTGCCTTCGAGCAATACAGTCTTACCTCGATACATGGAGTTACATCATACGCCTGTCTCATGAAGAATCTCATCCGTAACTCGGCTGATTCCAGGCTGCTTTAGGACAAAAAGATCATAAAGCACAATCGGATCGGGGACCAGGAATATTTGAGTAAATTCAAGACTATTCTTGATGAAGTTGTTGCCAAGGGCGACTTCTATTTTGGTAAGTTTCGAGATGAAGTGAACGAATATTATACGTCCTGGTGGAGTTTGAAAAAGCTTCAAGTATATTTGAGGCTGCGTTTTTTCAAAGAAACTAGGCTCCTTTTCAGCACTTATTTCTCTTCTACATGGAGTTTCACCTCATTCCTGGCTGCTTTTGCCCTTCTCATTCTCACTTCCTTACAAACATACTATACCATACACCCTCGCAGCTGATACATATATATACTTGTTTTCTTGATTCCTCATCTTTCTTTCTGCGTATGCATGCATATGCGCGATTGTTTTGTATGGACTTGATCATCTGAATAAAACTTGAAAACAGCAGTCTTAAAGAGTGCTGACTAGATTACTCAATACCTAAGCTTGCTCAGCTGGCTAAGCATCAAGTGTTGTCACGTGCTATCACAAGACTAGTCCGTTAGTTTTGAGTTAGTTCGATGGTTAGCTGTGTTAGTTCTAAAACTCAGTATATAAACTGAGAGGCTTCTCTTTGTAAGGTCATAATGTAAAATTTCATCAGAGAATATACAAAGAATTCTTTGTTTCTTCTCTCAATTTCCTTCCATTTTCTTCACAGCTTAGATCAGAGATTGATAGTTATCAAAACTCAATCATCTGCCTCGGTTTCCAAAGCCGAGGAACTACTACGCGGGAGTGCCCTGAAGACCGGGTCCAAGCATAGAGTATTTTTATGAGTTTACTTTTTATTTCACCTAGGTTGACTTGACCTTGGAATATAGTACAATTTGTTGTTGAGAAGTGCTTGGACGATTACTTGAAAACCAGATCCCCTTCTTTGTTCTCGAACTTTTGAAGCAAGCACTGGAAAATGGGAATTCAACTATTGCGCTTCAGAACTTTTGCAGCTCCAATCTTTTTGCAAAATGTTCTTGCAATCTTTCAAGCAGATTGAATAAATGGTGACTTTCATCAATGTCATTAGTAACAATAGTTACCACTGACTTGGAGTCACTTTCCAAGATGTGTTGAATCAGACAGATGAAGGCAATGTTGACAAAACAGAAGACGGTTCAAGGCAATCTTTTATATTTTTTGTTTGGTAGTGGAGAGGCAGGGCCAAAGCCCAGACAGACAAAAAACAAAACAAGAGACAACCTTGGACTAGGCCCTTCCTAAGAAATTGGATATAGAACCAGGCCGATCTGTAAACAGATGCAAGCCTAGTTCAAGTAGATTAGATATAATTTTTTTTATTTAAAATGGCTGCAGACTGCTACTGTGTTTTAATTTCTTCTAAAATGGATTAATATGCCTATCCCATTAGCATTGTCAATAGAAATTTTTTTACTTTTTTTATTTTTGAGAGGAAGTAGTAAATTTTCATTAAAATTGTCAAAGGTTATAGACTCGAGCGAACAAACGTGGTCTCATTAAAACCTTACTTAGGAAAACCCAGTGGGACAAAACCTGAGACGAAAAAAAGAGAGTGCCACACGCTCCATAAAGGCTACAAACAAAGCTCATGACAACTTCAGAATATCAACGTCAGCTTGAGGAAACACATTGGGCCATGGAGGACCCTCTTCAAGCCAAACGTCTCTAGACACAATACTTAAAAGCAAACTTAGCAAGTCAAATTGTCAATAGAAATTTCAACAAGCATATTCTGTGAGCCACACCATTTATTTCAATTTACATGAACGTTGCTTTGTAATTATGCTGACCTTTCGGAGGCCTGTCTAATGCACTATCTTTGGAACAAAAAAATTGAAACCTTAAAAAAGGTACGATACTAATGTAAACGGTGTAAAAAATCTCTAGTAGGAGATGCACATGTTATAGTATAATGAAATTACAGCTGTGAGCATGTGAGCATGTGACCATCTTCTTCCTTGCTGGCTCCTGCTCAGAATATACAAAACATTCAAAATCACAGCTTAAGTCATCCTGAAACAGCCATAGTATTACAAAACACTCATGGTCACTTGTAAATATAATAACAGTTTGCTAGTTGCTAAACTTCCCCTGCATTCTGGGTTTCCCGAGCACCCAACCAAAAGTAATTGCCCGAATGCTTTCTAAACCTTAGATTTGAACCCTTTGCTTCTGCCCCGCTTGGTCTAAAATAAAATATAACTAAATTTTTAGCCTCAGTGACCCCTAAACTGAAATCCAATTTTCAAACTGAAAATGAAGGAGATGACAATACATATTTATGATGAGCTCAACACTTTATTATACGACTATGTCGTAAGTTTATTGTGGATGAATTATCTGGTTGTGAATACCTTCTGTTTGTTAAAAAAACAAAAATCTAGTTAATAATTTGCTACTAATATATATGTCGCAGTCAGTTATATGATTGGTTGGAGTCGAGTTGGAGGATTATCCCTACCCTACTGTCCAATCGGATGTATGTTAGTTTAAGTAATTACAAGTTGATCGTTAGATAAAAATCATGTGAAATGTTACTAGGACGGTTGTATGCGCCCAAATCACGATTGTAGGAGATATGTATGTATCTACTAGTAAAAAATTCTTCGAATTGGCATCTTCAATTTTCCAGCGAATCAATCCCCCCTCCCCCCGAAAAAAAATAAAAAAGAAACATGCAATTGTTTCGACTTTGGACTTGGAGGGTTGCTGCTTAGATAAGTGGCATACGCCATAGCTTTTCGTCATAGGACGAGGCACAAAGTTTACAGAGTCTTTTTTTTTGCTTCTCTTTAATTTGGTAAACATACAAGTGAAATGATAGGTGGAAAACCTAGCCCCATCTTTCTAACAAAAACACTCCTAAAGCCGTTTTCACTTTGAGAGGGGAGGAAGTCATTGTTCTTCCTCTCCTCACCCCTCTTCTCTTCCTCCCTTCTCCTCTTCCCCCATTTTTAAAGACAGAAGAGGTTTCTCGTATTTGTCTTCTTTTTATTATGATTTTCCTCCAACTATCATAGGCGATTGCGTCATGGCGTCGGATCTCCATATATGTTTAGGCATCAGATCTTCACCTGCGTTTCGGCGTCGGATTTCTACCACCTTTTTTGTGTGGTTTCTTTCTTTTTAGAATAAGTTCTATAGACTCTTTGAGTTCTCTGTGTAGTTCTCTGGTCGTTTGGTAGTTTGTTTTGGTTATTTGTTTTTCCTTTTTGGTTCTTTGTAGCAGTCCAAAGTGGCCTGAATCGGCCTCTTTTGTTAGTCCATGGCATGCATGGTACTCATTCCAACCATGGGATTTGTCCCATGTGGTTTTTCTAGAAAGGTTTTAACGAGACCACCACTGTATTCGTGCCAATCTATATATGCCTATTATGGTTTATGAATGACATCTTCTAAATTAATAAAAAGTTTCTCGTTAGATAAAAATCATGTGAAATGTTTAGTAGGACGGTTGTATAAGTGAATGCTTGGTTTCGTCATAGGAGGAGGCACAAAGTTTACAAAGTGTTTTTGCTTTACTTTAATTTGGAAAACATATAAGTCAAATAGAATATTCATTAAGTAGATCAAGACCAACCAAGTCGTCCTATAAAATAAATAACTACTTGGAGGGAGGGTCTGCCGTACGTTGTGATGGAAGTAGAAAATATTGTTATTGCAAAGTTGAACAGTTCTTTGCCTCTTTGCCTATAAGCTTATGTCACGGACATTTTCGAGAATATTTTTCTTTTGTTAACTTTGGAGATAGGAGACTGGGATGGTAGAGTCATTTTCTATTATAATTTTCCATTTTCAACGAATTGATTAGAAGACAATGCTCAGTCGTCTTGGAAGCTCAGATTGGTGGTCGGACGCGAGGAAGGAAATCCTGCTGAGATGATCGACTCAGACGAGGAAATTCAGGTAAATATTGATCAGGTAATTGAACTCGCTTTCCTTTTTGTCTTTTTTATTCACTCTTTCCTTTTCCTCCTGCAATTACAAAACAGAAGGAAGTTAGAGGCAGAGCTAAGTGGATAGCGGAGATTGAAGAAAGACTCGGAGGAGTAAATGAAGCAGAGGACTCATGCATCTATAAAGTTCCAAGTAAGCTTCGAAGAGTAAAGCAGGACGCCTACAACCCTCGTGTTGTCTCAATTGGGCCTTTCCATCGAGGAGACCCCGACCTTGTAGCCGGTATGAGAAAGCATAAATGGCGTTACATGCTAAGCTTTCTTCAGCAAACAGACGATCCTTATGAGTCTCGCAGTTGCTTGAAAAACTGCACGGAAGCTATTTATAATTTAGACATGAAGGTTCGTCAATGCTACGCTGAAAATGTTGAGTATGACAAGAATAACCTTGCGCAAATAATGTTACTTGATGGTTGCTTCATATTGGAGCTCTTCCTCCGGTACTATGCCAAAAATGCAGGAGAAAAAAGCAAACCCGATCCAGTATTCAAAAGTTCTTGGATGGTCACAGCTCTTCAACATGATCTAGCATTACTTGAGAACCAAATCCCCTTCTTCATCCTCGAACTTTTGTATGAGGTTGTCAGGCCTTTTGTCGTGAGCCGTAAGCCGCCACACTCGGTGGCTGGCCTTGCTCTCATGTTCTTCCAACCTTTGAGCCGAAAGTCAATACCTAAAGAAGATCAAGACAAGCTGGGCGCAGACTTCAAGCATTTGCTTGACCTCTTGCACAAATTCTACTTCCTCCCAGTACCTCATGATAATGAGGTGTCAATCAAGCTCAATTTTAATATGGAATTGTCTTCCAATTCCAATATTAAAGAAGAAGAACCTTTATGCAATTTATTTTTCAGAAAAATGAGAAGAAAAATGCAGACTTTTTCATTCCTTCCGGAACTTGCTGATCCAGATAGCAAAAACAAGTGGGGATTCAACTGTTCTGCAACGCAACTTTTGGAGTCTGGAATTCGGTTTAAAGTCGGGTCGTCGGAGGACCAGTTGTTGAACATAACTTTCAGTAACGGAGTTATCAGGTTTCCCCCATTGGTTATGGACGATTCTGCGAGTTCAGTCCTCAGAAACCTAATTGCCTTCGAGCAGTGCAGTCTTAGTAATATGCATGGCGTCACCTCATATGCATTCCTTATCAAGAGTCTTATCCCTTCCTCAGCGGATATCAAACGGCTTCGTCAATATGGAATCATACAGCACAATTGGATTGGAGACCAAGAAAATTTCAGTCAATTCGAAGGTATTGTAGATGGAGTTGTCATGAAGGATTTCTATATTGATAGATTGTGCGCCGAAGTCAATGCATACACCAGTAGATACTGGTTTCGAAGATACATCAAGTACCTTTATCGCACTTATTTCTCTTCTGCATGGAGTAAGATAGTATTTATTGCCTCGATTTTGGCCTTCATTCTCACTTCCTTGCAGACATACTTCACCATTTACCCTCGCTAATACTAGCTTCTCTAGGGGGAAGGGTGGTTACGATTGCAGGGCTGGATTGATTTCTCTTGGGGCCATCTATCGAGTTTAGATTTTCATTATGTGTGTATATCGTATAGTCCTCTATATAAAGAGTTTGTATCCTATTTCTATACACTACAAGAAAAAAGGTCAGTAGTGATCAATTTCTCAGTGACTAAACTGAGAATGGTCACAAAAGGTAAGCATTTAGTGACTAAATATGTTATATGGTCTCTAAAATGATTGGGGCATAATTTTTAATTTTTAATGACCAGATTTGGTAATAAATAGTGAATAATTTATACTTAGTCACTGAAAAGATACAAAATAGAGTACAGAATCTACATTTTGTCTAGTTTATCTAGTTTCTTTTAGGTTCACAAAGTCTCCATTTTGTATGTTTCGTGGTTAATATGATTCGATGCATATTTGTTTACCATCCTCTCCTCTGGCTTTGTTCTCAGTCTAAATCTTATTCCTTATAGCATTATTGTGTTGAATTTCATTATTATAATGGTTTGCTTTAAGCACCTTTGATTATTAGTCATCAAAATTTACCCTATTAACAATCCTCTTTAGACTAGTTTGATACATCTACCTATAAGACCATGAAATGCAAAATAATTGGAAGTATTGACAACTATTGTGTACATCTCCTCGTAAACAACCCCATATAATATAATACTCCGACTAAAAAATTGGAAGAATCAACGACCTACCTCTCACATATTAATTAACTCTAATCTACCAGAAGAAAAAACAAGAAGCACATATATTAATTTATTTGGACCAACCACGCATTTGTTTGTATCTTACTGACATTTTTATCCAATCCAACCAAGGAGGAGCCAGGAGGGAAGAAAAATGGTCACAATTACTTTTCTATGTTTACAAAAACGAGTACATTATCCCTCACTTGATTTGAGCTTGACTCAGTTCCTTCCCGGAAGAGAGAGGCCTTATTAAAAAAAGATTCACTTTGGGATAAATCTCTTACTAAGTCATGTGGTTAAAGAGATAGACTCATGCACGGATGTATCCAATAGTGATAGGGCTAATTCTCTCCCGTTTGTGACTCAATACAATCGTGTATATGTAAATTGGGAAAACATAATAAACTAAGATGATAAAAACTCATTATACACGCAGAATCTTTAAAATACATAACATAAATGACTAATGAAACTCAAAGGATGGAGTAGGAGAAATCCTCCAGCCCCAACCTCATTGATTTTATAACAAAAATACAGAACATATGAAAGAAGCAATATTAGCTAGTGAGCCGGGTGAATGGCGTAGTATGTTTAAAGTTACACTTGGATGAATTTTATGCATGGAGATTTTTGAATGGTGGTGAAGGCCAAACCTCAGGAGGGCCAGAGGATGGGGTTCCAATTAGAAACAAATTTACTCATTCATTTTATTTTCAAATTGACAATTGGAATGTGTTCTTGGAAAAGTTAAGAAGGACGAATGGGGCTTTTCTACACACTCCCAAGATGCCATGGGAATTTAAACTAGGTTAACTTTTTTTTAATTATGCAGAGGGTGGAGGACAATTGGCGTTGATAAAGGGGTAGGGCAAGTCTGATATAACTAGGTTAACTTTTTTTTATTTATAATTATTTTTAGTTATAGTGAATTAATGGAAATGCTCTTAAACTTAATGGAAACTTTAACGGAGTTAGACGTAGGTGGTGGATTGCAACACTTTACAAAGTCCATTTGGTTAAAATTAAAAATTAAAAATTCAGGTGGTATTTATACAAATTTTCCTTTATTTATTAATAGCTGAAATGAGAAACCAACACTTAAATCATTGAAAAAGGAAGAAACATAACGAAGAAGTGTTCATATTTTAAGGAAACTGACCATCAGTGGAAGCAATCCAAACTAGTATGGTACTAATTACAAATGAACGAGAGCATGCAATACAATTTTGGAAATCCGAATGCATAAATGAGAAAGAAACTGGGGCAAATCATCAGAGGGCTGAACCCAATTATTATGAGGAGTGAAAAGAAGCCACTAGGCCTTAAAGAAGTAGCCACATCAGGAGGAAAGCAAGGGAACAATGGGATCAACAAGAACCACCATTCCCAAAACAAACCTTGCACACCTGAACCTTTCACGAATTTCTAGCCAGCCAAAAGATCAGACAAACGAGCCCTAAGAGCATGACAAACAGAACAACCCTAGGAGATAAGGAATTGTCCTGGGTTGTAGGGTAGGAAGAGTTTCCTCTAGTGTTACGGCCAGTGCTTCCTGTGCTCATCCCTTGAAGAAATGAATAGTTCGTTTTCTGGGTTCCAAGGGAGGAAGCGCTTCCATGAAACACGTTACGCTGAGTTTTACTACTCTTCCTATCTTCTTTGGCCATATTGCGATTGTTGGAGGCGATTGAGAGAACCCAATCTCGATATCTCTTTTTTTATGAGGAAATGAAAGTTAATCGACTCTACCCTAGCAAAGCCTTAGGTGTTGTATATATAGTATATACACGAGAAACTTGGCAATCCCTATTTGTAAAGAGTTGAATTCAAACAATGAAGAGTACGCGCGTTCGGTAGAAAGTAGGTGAGTTGTTTACTAGGAAGGTTCTATAAGTCAATGCTGGCTTGGTTGCGGCCAATATAGCCATGAGTTATTTGCAGTCACACCAGTCAGGTATATCATGTCATACAAACACCAGAATTTTCAAAAACTTACATGAACATAATTGAGGTTTCAATTTCAATTATTATTATTATTTTCTTCAGGAGGAAAATTATTATAATCGAATAGCATCGTTTACATCTTGTGCTAACATATTAAAAAGCCACATCGGTCCAACTTGATCCCAACAATGTGAGCCACCAAGTCGAGTTACATGTTTCCAACAACAACAAAAAAAGTCGAGTTTTATATATACATATATAATTAAGGCCACTGCGCATGTGTGCACAGTGATACATCCGTGGCCAATACTAGTGTCAGTCATGGACAATCCGTGGCCAACATATTACATTGGCTACATATCACATGCTGTGATCCAAGCATAATGATGTCATTAATTTTACGCCACAACAAAAAGTCATATGAATAGACTTAAGTACCCTTAGATATAAAACTCACAAAAACCTTAAAACCAAAACAAGCGTTCAGGGAACACTCATGATCTGTAGTGTATATTCCCAAAGTTCAATTTTTATCATGTATTGCTACGTTTTCTATTTTTTATTTTATTTTATTTAAAATTATTATAAAAATGCGAGATATATTGATAACAAAACAAAATTGCAGAAGATCTTCCACTAAAACATCATTGAAAATGCGCTGCTGAGTTTTCTGGCAAGACTTAACTAACTACCGTATGTTACAATAGCAATATGCAAACCATCATCCGTTCAAAAGCCCATCTATTTTCAACAAGATGAAGGACTGCTTGAATCACGCCCCTGGAATCCCCTTCTATCACACACCATTAAATCTTTATATCTTGGATCGATGCATGATATCTTTACATCTTCCAAAGTTTCTCAAAGTTAGAGGTATGTATGCAGAACGAAAAAAATCAACAAACTGAACTAAATAAAATTATAAATTAAATATTCTCAAAATTTCATCTAATAAGGTTTTTCCTTTTAGGTTTACGTGGGTTTTGTTTTGAGGGCATTTCAGTCTATTCAAGTGGATTTTTGAGTATTTTTGAAAGTTTTTATAAAAATTGACATTTATAAAAGTATAGGGTCTATTTTTGCTATTTTTGATAAAAACTCATTTTGAAAGCTAGATTGTAAAATAACTTACCTATCGTTTACCTATCCCCTATATAACTAGAATAATTTACCTCCTCTTCATTGATGCAAAACCCATGGCTGTTGTCGAAGATTTATATATCCTAGCCAAAAGTATAGTTTTCTTCAAATCGTGTGTGGATCTTTTGGCTCTCAAACTAAGGAGGGGGAATGGTATTGCAGTTTCTGTTTGTTGCAGTTTTTTTATCAGAAACTGCAATGCAGTTTCTTGTTCCATATTTCTCTTTTAGAATGATTTTTGCAAGTCTATGAGAATATTACGACTTAATGTGCTTCGAACTTAGTTTTGGTACTTTAATCATGGCTTTGCCTTTTGGTTTCCATGCAAATATGAGCAGATGTTTTGTCATAAAATGCACTGCAATTTCCGTTTGTTGCAATTTTTGATAAGAAACTGCGGCATAGTTTCTTGTTCCATATTTCGATTTTAGAATAATTTTTCCAAGTCTGGGAATGTTACAACTGCTTATCTACTTATATGTGTTTTGAACTTAGTTTTAGTACTTTGATCATGGCTTTGCCTTTTGGTTTCTTTTCACTTTTGGACATATTTTTTTTATAAACTACATTGAAGTTTTTGTTTGTTGCATTTTTTTTAATCAGAAACTGCAATGCAGTTTCTTATTCTATATTTCAATTTTAGAATAATTTTTCCAAGTCTATGGGAATGCTAGAACTGCTCATCGACTTAAATGTGTTTTGAACTTAGTTTTAGTACTTTGTTAATGGCTTTGCCTTTTGGTTTCTTTGCAAATTTGAGCAAATGTTGTCATAAACTGCGTTGCAGTTTTAGTTTGTTGCAGTTTCCGTTTGTTTTAGTTTTTGATCAGAAACTGCAGTGCAATTTCTTGTTCCATTTCCGTTTGTTGCATCTTGTTATAAGATTATATGACAGTAGAGATATATAACAAATCTTTTCTCAAATTAGGTTGACCACATCATTGTTGTAATCAACAACCTCATCTTCCTCTTCTTCTTCTCCAGCTTCCTTTTTTGCTTTCCCTTTCTCTGTTTTCATCTTTTGTTTAATGTTGGCCTTTTCGTTCTTTGGTTTGTTTGCCACGACAATTTTCTTGTGTAATTCTTCTTCTACGAGGCCTTTTGATGGTTTTGTTTTTGTTTTTTGTTTGTTGTTTTGGTTTTTTTTTTTTTTTTACTTTAGTTTTTGCATGAATCTGTGTTGAAATAATTTTATTTTATTTTTATTTTTTAAATCAATGATTTTTTATATAAATATTGTGTAATTGAATAGATATCACAAAAACAAGTTTGGTGTAGTGGTTTGTGAGTGAGGCTTCCTCCTTTGAGGGTCAAGGTTCGAGTCCCTTTTGTCACATCCTGGGATTGGCTCCGCCGTAGTACGATATTGTCCGCTTTGGGCCCCCCTCTTTGCCATCACGGTTTTATTTCTAGAAACTCACGAGCAACTTGCTAGATGGAGGTGGCATGTACATATAAGGCACATCATCCCCTCTCCGTTGGTCGATGTGGGATGTTACACCTTTAATGACACAAATTCTTCTATTTTTTTAGGGTGAATAAAGAGCAATGAAGTTAGTCCCCGGTTGGTCGGAGATGGGCGGTGCCGGTAGGTGGCTGCAGCTGGTCGGTGGTGGTGGCAGCTGGCCGGAAGGGGGTTGACCGGCGGCGGCTGTGGTGGCTGGCCGGCGGCAAGTGGTGGTGGTTGACCGGCAACGGCGGCGGTAGTTGGCTGGCGGTGGTGGTAGCTGACCGGAAGGGAGATTGCTGAAGGTGGACATGTGGTATAGTGTGCTTGTTTTTAAAGGAGTGGCATTGTGTATTTGCCCGATTAAGCATAGCATCACACATCAACAAATAATTTATTTATTCTATTTTGTAATGAACAGTACATCTATATTTTATATTTGTGCTCAGCTGAGATTTAACAACTCAACAATATGTGAAGAGCATGTGAACTAACTTCCTAATACAGTTGGCTCGTGGAAATTAGACAGGCCAACACAACACATAGTGACATAGGGCGAGGCGTTTTGAAAGGCGTTTTCACGTGAACCAACTTCCTAACTGTTGAAATACCCTTAATGATCAGCTGGGAGACAATGATCAGACAATGTGATATTTATTTCCACATATTCCATGTGTTAATTAGTAATTAGAAATGTACAGTGTGTGTGCGCTAAGACCGGATGCAAACAGTTGGAGTAAAAAAACAAGGAAAAAAAGGAGAAGTTGTTTAAGTATAGTCTTTGTTAATTACCCCTTGGTTGACGTTGGAATACAAAAAAATGAATGCGTGTTTGGGAAAAAAAAAGTTTGGTCATAATAGGAGTTCTTTAAACAAAGACTAATAAGTCGTCCTAAAAATTAAATTACTAATAAGTGGAGACTCTGGCGCTGTGAAAGGCAAGGCAAATATATGTTCATTACAAGTTGATCTAGTATTTGCCTCTTTTCCTCTAGGCTTATGTCACTCACATTCGTCATAAGCATCTCTCAAGTCAAAGACTAATACTTAATGTGCGGATGGAAGTCGTCTTCTTTTCTTATATTATTTTATCTTCAGAGTTGGTCTATAAATTAAATTAACTAAAGGCAATAATTTTAACTCAATTGACCTTCAGGGAAGCTCGGATTGGTGGTCGCCGGACACAAAGGGAAATTGTCTGAGATGAGTAAGTCTAAAGGAAAATTTCAGGTAACTGATCATCTCGATCTCTCTAACACTTTGCTTTTGAATCAACATATTGATTAAGAAAAGGTTATATTTTACAGTCCAAATTAATTACACATTTTCTCTTGTTGTTTCCCTTAATCAGCTTCCCTCCTCCTCCTCTGTGATCTCCTGCATGTTCAGCTTAAGCAAGAAGAAACAAGAGGAAAGCCTTGATGATGATACAGAGACACAGAAAGATGAATGGAAGAAGACTCTTATTGGTAAGCTGGGTAATGTGCACCAGAGAGAATACTTGAGCCACTATGGCCGCGGAAGAAAGGGAAAAATAAGAGGGGAATATTGTATCTACAGAGTTCCAGATAAACTTCGACAAGTGAAGGAGGATGCCTACCGCCCTGGCGTTGTCTCAATCGGACCATTGCATCAAGACAACCAGAACCTGGCACCCATGGTCCAATACAAATGGTCCTACTTGCTATCCTTTCTCGACCAGCAAGCAATAGATGCCAGTGAAGAACACTCTAGAAATTGCGCTACGATATGCTTGGAAGAGTGCATCAATGCGATTCATGGTTTAGATGAAGTAATTCGCCAGTGCTACACTGAAAAGATCACCTACACAGAGTATGAGCTTGCAGAAATAATGTTACTTGATGGTTGCTTCATATTGGAACTTTTCCTTCGGTTTGACCGCAACTTAAATTACATGAAGCAACAAGATCTCAATTATGATCAAGTATTGAGAAGTGTTTGGATGACTGAAGCTCTTCAGCATGATCTGGCATTACTGGAAAACCAGATACCCTTTTTCATTCTCGAACTTTTGTATGATACAATCAAGCCTCATATCATCACCAAGTGCAAAGCACCAGACTTGGTCGCTTCCCTTGCTCTTAACTTCTTCCAGCCTTTGAGCCAAAAGAAGTTCATCAACGAAGAGCCCGAGGGCACAGGGTTTAAGCATTTGCTAGATCTCTTGCACAAATTCTACTTCCACCCACCCGGTCACTTGTCCATCCCTGTGGGATCCATTTCAGAGAACGAACATCGTCCCGGTATACTGGAAAAAATAGTTCCATGCCTTGTCAGCAAAACAAAAAGAGAACAGCAAACTCCACGCCTTCCTAGTCATCGTCAACGCAATCCAGCGAGCGATGAGAAGTGGGGATTCAAGTATTGCGCTTCGGATCTTTTGGAGTCTGGGATCGAGCTTCAAGTTGGGTCAAGCACGCAGGGATATTTGTTGGAAATAAGTTTCAAGGCTGGGGTGGTTATAATTCCCCAAGTTCGAATTTACGAGACAACGAGTTCACTCCTCAGGAACCTGATTGCTTATGAGCAATGCAGTCTTAGCAGCATGCATAGCGTTACATCATATGCCTTCCTCTTGAAGAGCCTCATCGGTTCCTCACGGGACATCAACCTGCTCCGGACAAGAAATATCATAGAGCAAAATATTCGGATGGGAGACAAAGAATATTTGGCTCAATTTGAAAGCATTCTGGATCAAGTTGCTATGAAGGACGACTACTGCTTTGGTGATTTGTTCGACCAAGTGAATGAATACCGTATGTCCTGGTATAGTTTGAGCAGACTTCGAGTATTTTTTAGGGTGCAATTTAAAAGGCAGAAGAGAATCCTTTGCACCACCTATTTCTCTACTACATGGAAAGTCATATCACTCATGGCTGGAATTTTCCTTCTCCTTCTCACTTCCTTACAGACATACTATACAGTTAAGCCTCGCGGCTAATACTTTTTTAGTTAATTCTTGCCTTTTTAATTTTTTGTTGGACCATCCTATGAGTTTAATGAAGCTTTTGTTTGATTTAAGTTTCCTCTTAATAAATGAGTACGTGCAGCTTTCAATATTGATCCATGTGCAATTGCAGGTATGAAATTGATCTTCTATACAAAATTCAATTTTCATCATCTGCCTCGATTCCACCCCTAATTATACTTTTTTTTTTTTGGCGTGGTGCCGTATTAAATAACAGAAAGCACTTAATATTTTTTTATTTATATCAAAATTAGTTTTCTCCATCCAAATTGAGCCCAATCATTGAACAGTATTTAAAGGTAAAAAACATAACCACGAAGTCATTTTTAAGGACGCAATTGTTTTACACTAAAAAAATACAGCTGTGAGCAAGTGTGCTGTGAAAAGATTAGAGCTCTGTGAGCCTGCGACCATTTTCTTCCCTCCCGGAATATCAAACTCATACAAACAAAAAGGCAGGTTGGATCCAAATAAATTAGTTACATCCATATGTGCTATTGTAAAAGAATACAATTCAAAAGTCACAACCAACCATGCCAAGGAACCACAACTAGCTTACTAAGTCTTGCTTCATAAGCCTAAAGATAAAGAAAACTGAACATCAGGGAAGAAATCCAAACTAACTGCTCCTCAACACAATTTGAGTTATTCGATTACATAAATCAGAAAGAAACTGGCGCAACCAGAGGGCTGAACCCGATGATTATGAGGAACGAAAGAAGCCATGCACTTTAGGGCTTAAAGAAGAGCCACATCAGGAGGGAAACAGAGCAAAGGAACAATAGCCCGAAGACCAGACCAAACAGAAGAACGCTTGCAGGAGAATCGGCCGGTCTCTGTATTTTAGGAGAGGCAGCGGTGGATCTGAACACGTTACGCGGAGAGGCACTACTCATCCCCGCCGCTCTCCTCCTCATCACCTCTGCGCCCATCGTGAAGAGAGCACCAAGTGTCGGAAGCAATTGGCAGATCCCAATCCCGATCTCTGGTATGAGGAAATGAAAGTTAATCAACTCCACCCTAGCCATGTATTAGCTGTTATATATACACGTTCATACGAGTCAAACAGGCGGATGAATATATTAAAGGTTTTTTGTCATTCTTTAAAACAAAAATAAACGGGTCATTGTGAAAGGAAAGCCTGATGTTAGTCATATTGTCATGTAGCCTTATGTCAGTAATATCGTCATGAGTTTTATTTGATACACCGACCTAAAAGAAATTAAAATTAAAACATCAATGTCAATGCATCACGATTCATGAAACACAAGTGGTAGTGAAATGAAGTTAATTGCATAACGAAAAGGAATTATACATTTATATAATTTCTACATTGAGGTCAGTAAACAAAAGCATGTTTGGTACAAAAAAAATTCATATACTTTTTGTTTTTGTTTTTTGATTCTTATAATAAATCATATCAATATGTGCTACTTGTTTTTCTTCCAGAAGGGATTAATTACAGTCAGTACTCTGTTGTTACAATCTTAAGACATGTGACTACTTTCGCAATTTTTACAATAACATACCCCGGTCTTTTAAATTTGTTACAATGTAGTTCCGCTGTTAGGGTTTTCATTAGATCTCTTTGTTAGTTACTTATGTGGCACTATGGGTCTCACATTTTTCACTTTTTGTTAATTTTAAATTGATTAAAAAGTTTTTTTTGTGTGGAGAAAGCTGTAGAAAATTAGCACAAAAAAAAATATTTATTCCCCCTACCCCCCCAAAAGTGATTTTCTTCTCCCCCCTTTCTTAGAACTGAAAAACCCGAAGACGTTAAAGATTAAAACAAAGTGGGGCCCAACGCACGTAACGAAACGTCTATAAAACTGACGGAACGGGTAACGTGAGACCGTTTTTAAAAGTTTGTGGAGTATTTTGAGATGTTTGCAAACACATGTGGTAATATGAAACAAATTTGAAAGCACAGAGGGCATGTACATAAATAAGTCATATTTTTATGATTTTGCTGTTTGGTAAACATGTGAGAAGCTGCTTCGAAGAGAAGCGGAGGGTCTTTCACCGTGTTTTTCAGAAGCAGCCATCAAGTTGCTTCTCAAAGCTGCTGTGAAATAAAACATGCGGAGGCATTAATGAAAGTTCTTAAATACCAAGATTGCCTCTAATTAATTTTCTTATTGACATCCTTTTGCCCCTAATAATATTCTCTTTTCTCCACCACTTTTATCTGTTTTGCCTTTTCCTCATCTTCTTCCTCTATCTATCTTTTCTCTTTCTTCTTTCTTCTTCTTTATTTTTTTTTTTCTCTCTCTTTTTTCTCTGCGAGTCTTCTTCTTCTTGTTGTCCTACAAGACCAAGTTAAATAGCAACAGGTTGTTATTTACTTTGTGGGTTTTGTATCTACATTGGAAAGTCAATTTGGAGGCTCTCTCTGAATCTCCATACCCAGAGCTTTAAAATCACTTTGGCCATTAGAATATTTTCTTTCGATCTGGTCATCTTCCTCTTCTGTCCAAATTGCTCACTGGCACTGCTCAGCAGCCTCAACCCAGCACCGTACACCAACCGAGCCACCCTCCCTCTGGCCTTCCATCTTCCCCGTCGAACCCAGCCAACAAAAAGCTGAACCCATTTGTTGCAACATACAATGATTAGAGGTCTAACTTCTCCAGTTACGGGTTTGGATTTAAAGTTCCAAATTGGGATCTTGTTAAATTGGATTTAAGGGGGTCCTAATTGATAAAGAAGGGGTTGCAGAGAAGGGAGACGAAGAATAGCCGAGAGAAAAGGGGGAGAAAAAAATAACACTTTTTGTATCATACCCTTTTGATCGTTATACAGAGTCACAACATTTCTAAAAAAAAGTTTACCAAACCTTATTAACTCACAATACCTTTACAAATATAGATCACTAAATACTTCATTGTTTTACTTTACAGCTGTTTATTCTCGCAGCACAACAAAAGTGGGTTTTTTTTAAGCACAGTTCGGACAACATGACAATTTATTAAGGTGAACGCCAAAAGAGGCATTTCAGTCATCATTGTATTCTACTTTCTCTGTAGACAAAGTAATTGAACTGCAGGTCTCCAAATTCACTCTGGGGGATTTTGATTCGATGGTGTTCAATAATTCTTGGGCTTCATTGAGTATGCTCCATCCCTCTTTCAACAGCATCACTCCTCTACCAGCCTTTTTACGTCCATCTTCAATGTGATTTTTTGAAGAAATAAAGAGGTCCAATACGTTGACTGAACCAGTTATGCTAGGGCAAGCACCCTGAATGGTCTGTATTATTTCCGCCAGCTGCTTTAAGTGTTCATGAATAACAAACGTGGCCTCGACAGAAGCTGTTTTATCCTTGATGACCCTCCTTCGCTTGCTCGCTTTTTCTCCTGCAGTCCTCATACAACAATTAATCAAAAAGAAGGGAAAAAAAAGGAAAAAAAAAAAAAAACAGCCTACCTCTTGGCATATTAATTAATTAAGGAGTTCGTATATTAGCAAATTAAATGTCTGAAAAAAGAAAAATAAAACATACAAAGATATTATAACCTAAGTTTGTACCCGTGGAGTTCTCTGTTTTTTGGGGTGTGTGGGGATCCTCTGTTTTTCTCCCTTCTTTGCCTTCATCGCGAGGCCTTTTTTTATTCAGAAGATCACGTATTTGGTTGAATCCTTTCTCCGTCGACTCTTTTTTTTGGGTCTGATTCTCCCTCGCCACTTTATGTTTGGTCTGGTTCTCCATCGCCTCTGAAGAGTACACAACTCGGGAGAACCCAAAGTTGCTATATATAGGCATTGAAGGGCTTATAACACGCACACACTACTATATTATTACTTTAGATACCAAAAAAAAAAAATATAAAATTTTTAAGAGAGACAAGGGAGGGAGGGGAGAAACATAAATAAATTACAAGAGCATACACGTTGGTGTGGTGAGATTTGAGCTTCCTTATGCATTGCAATTGACTTGGGGTTGGGTGCTTACGTTCATATTAGAGATACATTATCTATGTGGTAGGCCCAAAAGTCCCATGTACTTTGATATACTAAATAAAAATTGTATTTAGACCCCAAAAAACAAAAAAGATTAAAAATTGTTAGGGCGCAAAGAGACGCCACACGTTTTGCCACCCTCTCGATCACTTATTATTATCAATTTATTTGTCATGTAGGATGCGTCATCTATATAATTATCGGATTCTGAATCTCTATATTTAGATAGCGTGCATTTTCCCGTATTTCACTAAATCTTGATCATTGCAATAACCTAACGACTTAAAATATGACACATCAAACCTCAACTTAACAACGTTAAGTCTTCTCTAAAAAAACACCGTTAAGTCTAAATAAAATAAAATATTCAAAACAAATAATAATGATAATAACAGCCACTCAACCTCAACAACCACCAATGGCCCGCCCAACCCACCTCACAACACTGGCGGAAAGCCTGTCTCTTTTCACCACTAGCCAACCTCTCCTCTTCTCTCTTCCCCTCTATGGAGCTAGGATTTTATGTGTGAGGGGGCCAATATATTAGGGTTTATGGTTGATTCCGTTCCTAGTGTTAAGCTTGTAAATAAATAAATAACCGATTATCTTTGATTTCCTATTTTCTTAAATATACTTGTGAAAGAAAGATTTGACTGGTTGAATCTTTTAATTTTATTGATTATGTTTGTGGGATCCAGAAGTAACTTAGCCATTTCGCCAAGTAAATAGTCTTTTAGTTGGAGGGGGAAACTTAAATCCCTCCTCTTTATTGTCGAGGACCACAAGCATTATTTTAATATATATATATATATATATATATATATTATCCTAAGTAATGGTTAATGGTATATATAGTATTATTGCAAAGCCCAATATATATAATATTTCAGAATTTTGGGAGGGCCAAGGCCCTTGCAGACCTAAGCACACCTCCGCCACCAGTTAGCAAGATTTTCCTCTTCAGGGTCGTCGTCGCGGCTATGTGTTTTCCCCATAGAAGAGCCCTGAAATTTTTCTGTATATCTAGGCGCTGAGAGCACTTGTTGGAATATAGTATATATAGGCGCTGAGAGCACTTGTTGCGAGAAATTGAGAGATAAGCCACTCTCGATCTCTCCATATTGTTATTATTATAAATTTTCTTACTAGAGGAACTGATATACCTTCACGGATACATGTCACGTAATGGCTAATGGTAAACAATGTACTAAAACGGACTATACTAATAAGTGAGCATTTAACTCGAAATTAATTGATAATAAGTATAAAGATTCAAAATTTATATATAAGCTATTAATGCAAAGCTATCATTAAATCAACTAGGAATCAATTTCTATTTTTCATTTATTATATCTGATTTATTAAATTAATGAATTTAAGTTTATTTGGGTTTTAGTTTTGATTGATTTGAGTCTATTCAGGTTAGTTTTTTTGCTACTTTGGAAAGTTTTATAAAAGCTTTTGGCAACAAAAAAAAAGTTTTTAAAAACTGGCCTTATGAATGTAGGCGGTAAATTTTGGCTTTTTTATTATTATAAAAACTCTCTCACCTAGCGTTATTTAAGCCATATAAAATTCATATTAGGTGATGTGAGAGTACATGTGGTCTCGTTGGACTCAACATGTGAACAATTCATATGATTAATGGTGCCATTGACAATGAGTATGTAATTTCCAAATTCGAAGTCAGGTTAAACTTTTTCCAAAAAAAAAAATGTTAATTTTTGTTGGGATAAATATTCTCACTTTGTAGATCTTGAAGAAATTGATTGATTTAATAAATCAGATAAAAAATGGAAATAAGAGATCTTGAGTTGCGAAATTAGTTATGAGATTGATTTTCCGCATTCAAGATAAAAAAATCAGAGCTTCAAAATATTTGTTTATGTGGATTGAATTTCCAGAATAAGAAATCGTTGTTTAATTGATGTTTTTTTTATTTTGTTCACGGTTAGATAACTTAAGGTTTTTCAATAGAGTAATTTTTTACACTCAATAAATACAATGATTGTCGGAGAGATATACAATGCAAGTCAACAAGTCGATCCTTCATTTTTCCAGCTAAGCATGGAGTTGTTGTGAATTTGAAGGTTGCTGCTGATGCTGACATATGAAATACATCATAGCATTTCGTCATCTAAATCATGCCACGCCGCACCGCATGGTTAATTATAAAAATATATGAATCATTCCTCCTCCACAGGGTGTCATGTGCTAAGAGCCTATGACCCGGATGCAAACAATATTGTATTCGAATACAAAAAATATCGTATAATAAGCTTTGCATTTTCACTCTCGTCTAGAAGGCTAGATAGATACTAAAGAAATGGTTATATGCATGTCTAAGCGATGCGCCAGCCAACAGGAGAAAAAACTGACTATCCCAATTATATATATATATATATATATATATATGTTTATGGAAAGTATTTCTTTTCTTCTCCTACTTTCCCGTTAATCACAATTTAACATATATTCATACATTTTTCTTTTTATGTTTTTGCATGCCAACCGTGCCATAACTCAATGTTTTAGATCGTTAAATTATTAAAATGATCTAGATCATATATGTATGTATCTTGGGTACAAATGCTAAATAACATTCCTTCAGACTTTTCCACAATGAGAATTTGCCTTTTGCATAGTAATTTAATTTTTAGGACGACTTATTAGTCTTTGTTTAAGGAATTCCTATGATGACCGAACATTTTTTTTTCTTTTTCCCAACATGTATGTAAGTGTCACTCCTCCATTAAGTATTAATTAGTCTTAGTCTTTTTTAACATATGGAATTTCCTAAAGATGCTCAGACGAATGAGACAAAAAGAGGCAAAGATAGATAGATCAACTTGCAATATAAATATTTGCTTTGCCTTTCACATTGCCAGAGTTTCCACGTATTTAATTTTTAGGGCGACTTAGTCTTTACTTAAATGTATAATTTATCTGATTCATATTTAAATCTCTCTTCTGTTTTGGTGCTTACAGTTTGTAAGGCTTTCCATAGAGGCATTCTACATCCCTTTTCACTACTACAAAAAAAAGTATCTTCACTTTCTCCTTTTTTCCCCCTTCCTCTCCTGTATCGCTTCTCTATTTTTCTTCAGCTCTTTAAGAGTTACCTGAAAGTGTTCTTCCGTCATCCCAGCAGTTTTCCTAAGTCCTCTTTGGCCTCGAATATGCTTCCAAAGGGGTAGAAGATTGCCTTTTATAGAAAGACCCCACCAGTAATCCCATCCCCAACCGTTGTGCTCACAGGGTTTCTATGTTCTGCCATACTTACTATTGTGCTCATAGGATTTTTGTGTTCTGCCTTACCTACTACCGTGCTCACAGGGTTTCTGTGTTATGCTTCTATGTGTTCTTCTATTCCCTATTTGTTAGGGTTTGTCAGTTGTTTTACTTGTGGTTTATGACAAGGCCTTCTCTACAGTTGTTCGGTTGGTCAATGTCGAGTATGGTGTTTTATGACTCGCTTGTCAAGTTGGGCATGCAAAATATCTTTGCCCCAACTTGGAGGGAAGTGTTGGCGAGTCCTTACTTAATTAGGATTTTGATTACTTATCCATTTATTTAATTATGTTATAATTGAGATTTATTTCATATTGTAATTTGGATTTATTTCCTATCTTATTTAGGTTATACTTCTTTATAAATGCCTCAACATTGGAGAAGAATAAAAATATGAGCATAACTGAATATTTACCTCTACACCTTACTCAATACGTGGTGTTCACGTGTTGGGCTTAAATGATTGACTCTAATGTGGACTTGGCTTCACGTGTGGCCCACTATGTGGTGATCCCACATGAGGGGGTTTTGTTGAAGAATATAAGTCCCACATCGAAAACTTGACTAAATAAAATATAATATAATGAATGGTCTCACTACAAATATCACTTTGGCTTTTTGTGCTAAAACCCCACACCTACTAGGCTTTGTAGGTAGTTAAGTTAGGAACAATGTTGGTTGTTAGTAGTGGGTTGCTGACTCACCTCTCTGAAATCTTAAGTTGGTATCAGAGCAGGTTTATTAACTGGGCCTGAATTGGGCATCAACCCTTACCCAATATGTGGTGTTCATATGTTGGGCTTGAATGTTTATCTTTACTCAATACGTAGTGCTCACATGCTGGGCTTGAATATTTGACTCCGATGTGGACTTGGCTCCACATGTGGCCTACTATGTGGTAGTCCCACGTGAGGAGGCATGTTGTTGAAGAATATGAGTCCCACATAGGAAACTTGACTAAATAAAATACAAAATATAATGAATAGTTCTACTACTAATAACATCGAGGCTTTTTGTGATAAAACCTCACACCTACTGAGCTTTGTAAATGGTTAAGTTGTGGACAATATCGGTGTTGATAGTAGTGGGCTTTTGACCCGTCTCTCATGTTTAACTCTATGTAATTTAGGTATCATCTATGGATGTGGTAGAATTTGTGAGCAATCACATGTAGTTCCATTGTTTCTAATTCTATGTAATAAAATTGAATCTTCAAGTTTTATGAAAAAAAATAATTCTTTAAGTGTATATATTCATTAATAAAGTGTTATAGTTGGTTTTTTAGTTAAAATCGTTGTACAGAGTCAGTGGAAAAAAAAACTAATTAGACGACAAATTTACAATACAACTGTTGTCTCCATAACTAATCAATGACGGTTTTTAAGCATTAATTCACATGCCAACAACATGGAAACTTATTCGAGGATAGTTTTTACATTAAAACTGTCGTCTTCACAGAAAATTGATGACGGTTTTAAATAATAATGTCGTCTTTATAGATAAACAACGACTATTTTTATATAAAAACCACTATCTTAGAAGATAAACAACGACGATACTATTGTAAAAACTGTCTTATTTACAGATAAACAACGATGATTTTAATAAAAACATCGTCTATACTGATAAACAACGACAGTTTTTACTGTCATATTTCCTTATAAACAACGAAGATTTTAAAGAAAACCGTTGTCTTAACAGATAAACAATGATGGTTTTTCACCGTCGTAGTTTGACATTCAAAAGATATCGGTGGATTTAATGACGAGTTTTAAAACATCATAACGACAATGGATTCCCATTGTCTATTTCGTTTTTTCGTAGTAGCAAAAAGGGGATGTAAAATGCCTCTCTGGGAAGCCTTACAAATTGTAAGCACCAAAACAGAAGAGAGAGACAATTAAATATGAATCAGATAAATTATACATTAAAGACTAAGTCGCCCTAAAAATTAAAGAAGTGGAGACTCTGGCAATGTGAAAGGCAAAGCAGATATGTATATTGCAAGTTGATCTATCTATCTTTGCCTCTCTTTGTCATTTAGGAAATTCCATATGTTAAAAAAGACTAAGACTAATTAATACTTAATGGAGGAGTGACACCGACATACATGTTGGGAAAAAGACAAAAAGAAAAAAGAAAAAAAAAGTTTAGTCATCATAGGAGTTCTTTAAACAAAGACTAATAAGTCGTCCTAAAAATTAAATTACTAATAAGTGGAGACTCTGGCGCTATGAAAGGCAAAGCAAATATATGTTTATTGCAAGTTGATCTAGTATTTGCCTCTTTTCCTCTAGGCTTATGTCACTCACATTCGTCATGAGCATCTCTCAAGTTAAAGACTAATACTTAGGAAAATTTCAGGTAACTGATCATCTCGATCTCTCTAACACTTTGCTTTTGAATCAACATATTGATTAACACTTTGCTTTTGCATCATGATTCATGAAACACAAGTTGTAGTGAAATGAAGTTAATTACATAATGAAAAGGAATTATACATTCATATAATTATATTTGATTTTCAATCTTATGTACCACAAGTCTTTTTTCAAAACAACCCATAACAAATTTGAAGCTTTTATGAAAGTCACTAGAAAAATAAAAATTACTTGGTTTAGATCGATATCGTAGAGGGGAATGCTAACAACATTCTCTCTAATCTTCTCTTTTGGACATTCTTCATTCTTCTCATGACAAGTGTCACTTTCCTTACACTTAAAACAATATCATTAATGCATCACACAAACTAGTTTTTGTTTTCCAAATTTACCCTTATTGAATACAGCTGTTTTGGTGCTTACAATATAAAAATACAGCTGTGTCCTCCATTGAGGTCAGTATGGCATACAAACAAATGCATGTTTGGTGCAAAAAAAATTTATATACTTTTTATTTTATTTTTTTGGTTCGTAGAATAAATTATATAAATTGCTACTTGTTTTTCTTACAGAAGGGATTAATTATATACCTTTTCTTGGTCGGTATTACATCTCCTCTATGGGTATGGCTGACCATATAGAGTTGTACTTGGCGATTTGAGAAGGCCAGCGTTTGGGTCCCTGTTTAGGAAATTCTCAGCGTTTTGGTTGTTGCCTTCTTTCTCCTATCTAATTTTTCTATATCTCTAACAAAGAATTAAAAAACCAGCTATTAACAATTATATTTTCACTTAAGAATTCTTTACATCTTTACAACTGAGTCGACATCACGCCTTAATCACTTCTTCAATATTTTTTTTCTAATTTGAAAAATATTAGAAGGAATCATCTTATCCCAATACATCACTGAAAACATATGCAATATTGCAGGGAAATGAAGTTACAGTAACATAATTAATCAAATCCGTAGACTCTCCCCTTTGTGACAGGATCAATCAAATCCTTAACCCAAACAGGCATCTCAGGATGTTGAGACTGAACCTTGAAATTATAAGGTTGAGGCATCCAGCAGTCTTCATGGATTCTTATACTCTCCCCATTGCCTACTCTCCATCTCACACTAGCCTCAAAGATGTGTCGCCTCTGTACGAGCCCTTTCCATCCCCAAGATGAGCCACTCCTTGCACATGCGGACCAAAAATCGTGCCCAGAAAAATATTTTTCATGTAAAATTCGGGCCAACAAAAAATCAGGATTGCGTAATATCCTTCAGCAAGTTTTCGCCATGAGGGCCAAGTTAAAGCAAATAATGTCTCAAAAACCTAGACCTCCCGCGTGTTTCATCTTGCTCATCTTTTGCTAGCTAACCCAATGAACCCCTCGGTTGTCCCTGGAATTCTTCCACAAAAAATTTCTTTCAATTTCTTTGCATAAACTAACAGGCATTTTGAAACAGGACATGATATAATTCGGTAAGGCCATGGCTACTGCCTTAATCAGGACTTCCTTACCAACTTGTCATAAAAATTTCTCCGACCAGCCCAAGAGTTTGGTAGGGTATTGTAGGTGGTTGGAATCGGGATTTAGTAGAAGAACTACGTGTGGCTTGATCCTTCAGTAAGGGTACGTAGGCAGCCTAGGGTAGTGCCTAGGTGCAGTTGCGGGCTAAATTTTACTTGGGTGTTTTGATTGAGATATTGGTCCTGAAACTCGGTTGAAACTGAGGTGCGATTAAATATTTGTTCATACTCCCGTTTGGCTAAGGGAGAGTTGTGTGGATGTATTCTATTGAATAATGTATGTGGTATAATGGACTGAGGCCCTGGAACTATTGGTGATAATTTATAGATGATAGTGGACGCATGTTAAAAATCAGGGAAGCTAATTTATGTTATCTGCAATGGGCATTTATAAATAAGTTTGAGTTTATTACTGTGATATAAGAACATTGCTGGTGGTTTTGTTTCCAATTATATGGGGGCTGGAGGCCGATCATGTGATTTGCTTGAAACTATATTGTGCATGCTGTCGGTTGGGATATTAAATGTGTTTTATGCGTGTTGGAATTTTTGGGAAATGTTCAATTTACAGGGAAGACTCTGCCGAAATTTCAGTAGAAAGTCTCGTGCCCTTATTCCTTTTTGGGAAAAGATGATATAGTTTAAGAAGTGGGCCCGACATCGGGGTGATGTCGGGAATTCCACAGGATTCGTCTCAGATTCCGAGAAATTCAGGGCAGGTCTTGTCACAAAACGATGTTCAAGTTCCTCCATCGTTCTTGCTGTTGTGTGATCTTGCGTCTAATGCAAGGAAAAATGTTCTTGTGCCGGCATGGAGGAAAAACCCTAGGCGCCACTCTAAAACCCTACCTAACTCTCCTTTCGAGAGACCCGGAACCCAGAAATCTCTTTGAATTAAGAAACACCAAGTCTCCTATTTGATATTTATTTAATACAACAAAATATTCAACCATTTATTTTCTTGAGACTTTACCATAATAAAAGGGATAGATTGTGTACTCGTCTCACTGATTGAATCACGAATACAAACAAATTTGTGTTAGGTACAAGTAAACATCTTTAGAAAACGGATTTGATATATTGTCACGCCATTCTACTTCAATTTCTGACAGACAGTGCATATGGGCCCACTTGGGGATGGGATTACTGGTGCGGTCTTTCTTTATTGTTCTTAATCTCTTCATGGTTGCCCTATAAAAGACAATCTTCTGTCCCTTGGGAAGCATATTCGAGGTCGCAGAGTACTAGGCAAATCTGCTGAGATGACAGATCAGGTAACTATATATTAAAGAGCTGAAAAGAAATAGGGAAGAGATCCGGGAGAGAAAGAAAGGGGAAAAAAGGAGAGATAGGAACCCCAAATTGGTTCTAATCATTACATTTCTTTTTTATTATGTGTTCAATTTATATATTTATATATTTACTTATTTTGTTGCAATTGATTCTAATGTTAATTTTTTTTTACTTCTTTAGTAATTCAATTTCTCACTCACGTTGGTTAAAATATTTTTCTTGCTTTCTTAAGCTCAATCTTTTTTCATGACTTTGTTGATGTGCTTGTGAAGATTTACCGTTTAAATTGCCCTCTTGTACTCTTTACCTCTAGCTAAGCTTCATCAAGTTTTTAAATTGTTTCTCACTATTTTTTATGTTCGTAAATTACCTATAATCCAGGTAATTAAATACTTATTTCAACTTTCAATTAATTTGTTAAACGCAACTCCATAGCCAACAAACAGGTAAATTATCTACAAATATAACTCTTTTTCTTTTCCTCTTCTCTTTCAAAACAGGAAGCCCAGGAGATACTCAGGAATGATAAGTGGGCGAATGAGCTTGCGGAAAAGCTTGGGGAGGTGGAAGAAGGGTCACAGGACTTGAGCATCTACAGAGTTCCAAGTAAACTTCGAAAAGTGAAGGATGGTGCATACAACCCTCGCGTTGTCTCTATTGGACCTCTCCATCGAGACAATAATCCTAACCTTTTAGCTATGAAAGAACATAAATGGCGTTACATGCTCCTCCTTTTCCAGCAAACAGACAACCCCAAAAATACTATCGAATGCTTGCAAAAGTGCACCAATGCCTTTTATGCTTCAGGAAAGCACCCTTTAAATAAAAAAGTTCGTGAAAGCTATGCTGTAGATCTCACAAATATTGGGGAGCATGATCTCGCAGAAATGATGTTAGTCGACGGCTGCTTCATATTGCAACTTCTCCTTAGGAATCACCAATCCTGCGACCAAGCTAATGATCCAATATTCAGTAGTGCTTGGATGCTCCCAACACTTAGACATGATCTGACATTACTTGAAAACCAGATCCCTTTCTTTATTCTCGAAGAATTGTATCGCATTATTATACAGCCTCACATCGAGAAATACCCAAAGCCAAACTCGGTCGCTAGCCTCGCTCTCAAGTTTTTTCAACCTATGCACCAACAGACAATAAAAGAAGGTACGAACACCGAAGACTGCAAGCATTTACTTCATCTTTTGCACAACTTCTTCCGCCCAAGTTTGGGCCATATCATTGAACTGGGGGGTCCTGCAACGCCAAGCAACCAACAGACAAAAAAAGAAGGTACGGACACTGAAGACTGCAAGCGTTTACTTCATCTTTTGCACAACTTCTTCGGCCCAAGTTTGAGCCAAGCAGCAAGCAAGAAAAAAAGAAAAAATTCAAGTATTGCGCTTCAGACCTTTATGACATTGGAGTCCAGTTTGAAATAGGGTCAGCCGACGGCCAGTTGTTGAGCATAAATTTTAATCATGGAGCAATCAAAATTCCACCATTGTTCATTGACGACACAACAGATTCGCTCTTCCGGAACCTGATAGCTTTCGAGCAATGCCATCTCAAGAGTTCGCATCACATCACATCGTATGTCATCGTTATGAAGAGCCTCATACGTTCCAAAGAGGATATCAAACTACTCAAGAAAAAAGGGATCATACATGAAAATTTTGCAGGAGGAAAATATTATGTTGATTTCGAAAGTATTTTAGACCATATTAACCTGAAGGAGTTCTGGTTTGAAGAGTTGTGCGACGCTGTGAATGAATATAGTAAGTCAAGTAAGTTTCATCACTGGCACAAATTCAGAGCATTTTGGATGGTGCGACTTCAGAGATATATGAAGTCCCTTTATGTCACATATTTCTCTAGTCCGTGGAGTTTCATTGCATTCTTGGCTGCAGCTGTCGTTTTCGGTCTCACTGTGACACAGACACACTACGCCATTGACCCTCGCTAGCTAATACTTGCTGGTTGATGCTTTTACAATTATATTATTATTATTATTATATATGTGTGCTTTTACAACTGTATGGAGGCAAAAGGGACCTTCAGAATAAGGAAATGTCTCGAGAGATTGAATCTTTAGATTTTCCAATTTCCCTTCACAACTGATTATAGTGATTTTGTGTGCTGATGTAGTAATAAATATATTTGAGTGTATTGTTTAGCAAACTCCAATAATAATTATAATTATTAGTTCCTGCTTTTCTCTTCTTTTCTTTTTGTACTTTCTGAATTTCTTATGGTAAAAGGGGGTTTAGGGTTTCTGTTCTGTAATCTGTTGGGCCATCCTATAATTTCAATCATTAACATATAAAAACAATGATAAAGGCAATGAACTGAACCAGTAATAGTATATATTTTGCTTAGTTTTCAAAAACATACGTTTTCAAATCCGGTTCAATGCGGGTGGGTTTTGGTTTTGGTGATAAGTCACCGGATTCGGTCTCTTCTAGGCGATGAAGAGTTTTGGAAGTAGTTGGGATCCGGATTTCCGATCACTATCAGCTTTCTTCCTTCTCCATCTATCCTTTATTTATTGATTATTTAATTTTTCTGGGTGGACTTTGTTATCTCACTTGAGGAATGTAAAATTCATTTTATCAAGTCCTATATAATACATGCAGACTCCCTCAAATAAATTTATTGGCGGAATACACCTTATGGAATTCACTCCACATTGTATTTCAATGATCTAATTTTAGGTATTCATTCAAAGATCATATATGCAAAATTCCCTTGAATAAATCCATTCGACCATTCAATTAAATGGTTGATATTATAGTGTTTTTTTAAGCATCATGTTTGTCGATTTTGTTGGTCACAACTAGATGTCTTAACCGTTTCCTATTTGTCTAATTTTTTGCAAGGATGACCTATGAATGAAGACTAGAAAAATAAACGGTTCATATTGTTGAAATAAAGTTTTTAGTGAGTCCCATAATGTGTCGCTCAAATAAGATTATTTGAGTCATCCTTCAATATATATTCACACACCAAATACTTAGGAATGTCTCCAATTTGCAAAGAGTAGAATATAAACATCTTTTGTTTTTTGTCAATGAATTAACTATATTGGTAGTTGTTTCCTGCTAGTAGGGACTTAATAAGTCAAAGTCAAGTCAGAATACAATTAAACCAGCAACAAAACTTAAAATTTTAATAGGCAAATGGGGCTGGAAGACTTGGGAGTAGGGTCTTTCTTATAAGTTAATTATATATCTTTAATCTTCATATTTGGACAATAAATTGAAGGCAATACTCAGGCGCTTGATTGGGATTAAGTAAGCTGAGATTGGTGGTTGGACGGCGAAGGGAAATCTGCTAACATGAGCAACTCAGGAAAGGTAATTGAGGTCGTTGAGCTTAATTGTATGATCTCTTTAGAATTTGTGTATATATCTTGCAGTTGGATTATCATCATGTAGAGAACAAAAAACATATATATATGTACATGCATATGTTATTTAATACATACATATTTGCAAAAATAGTGATGCTGAAAGTAGATGTGTGCACTGCTAGCTAGCTTATACATTTACAATCAAACCAGGAAACGGAAGCAAGCTATGAGCAACAGTGCTATGACAAGGTGGAGAAAGCGTCAGGGGCATTGAACATCTTTAAAGTTCCAAATAAACTTCGAAAAGTGAAGGAGGATGTTGGGTTTGATTATTCAATTAATTCTAGACCATGTGTTGGACCGTGTGTGAGTGGACATTTATTTTATAAAGGGTTTAGGGTTTAGGGTTTAGGGTTTAGGGAAAAGCATGAGCTTGCAGCTATGCAAGAGCATAAACATCGTTACAGGAGATACTTTGAGAAGCGTTTGAATGAGTCTGCCACATCCCGTGAGAGCTTTGAAAGTTTTTTCATTAATACCTTAGCGGAAAAGATTGCGAGCTGCTATGTTGGAAGAATTAGGTGCCATCCTGAGGAATTTATAATTGAAATAATAGGACTTGATGGCTACTTCACATTGGAACTTTTCCTCAGGTATTATGAACACTACAACTTAAACATGATGTTAGAAGAGCAATCTGATGACCCAATATTCAATACTATCTGGATAATTCCGGCACTTCGCCAGGATCTAGCTTTAGTTGAAAACCAGATCCCCTTTTTTATTCTCCAAACTCTGTTTGAGGCTATCAAGCCTCATCTCAAGGCCAACGGCAAGCCAGCACCGAACTCGGTCACTAGCCTTGCTCTTCATTTCTTTGAACCTGCAGCTATGAAGAACCAAAAGGCAATAATAAAAGGAGTTGATGATCCTCCTGGCGGCACAGAGGGCTACAAGCATCTGCTTGATCTCTTGCACAAATTCTATCTCCCAAGTCAGCCTAAGAGTACTAATAATAAGCAGCACCCTGCTGGGGCTGGTAATTCCTCAATTATCAACATCACCATTGACCCTCGCTAGCTAATACTTGCTGGTTGATGCTTTTACAATTATATTATTATTATTATTATATATGTGTGCTTTTACAACTGTATGGAGGCAAAAGGGACCTTCAGAATAAGGAAATGTCTCGAGAGATTGAATCTTTTGATTTTCCAATTTCCCTTCACAACTTATTATAGTGATTTTGTGTGCTGATGTAGTAATAAATATATTTGAGTGTATTGTTTAGCAAACCCCAATAATAATTATAATTATTATTTCCTGCTTTTCTTTTCTTTTATTTTTGTACTTTCTGAAATTCTTATGGTAAAAGGGGGTTTAGGGTTTCTGTTCTGTAATCTGTTGGGCCATCCTATAATTTCAATCATTAACATATAAAAATAATGATAAAGGCAATGAGCTGAACCAGTAATAGTATATATTTTGCTTAGTTTTCAAAAACATATGTTTTCAAATCCGGTTCAATGCGGGTAGGTTTTGGTTTTGGTGACAAGTCACCGGATTCGGTCTCTTCTAGGCGATGAAGAGTTTTGGAAGTAGTTGGGATCCGGATTTCCGATCACTATCAGCTTTCTTCCTTCTCCATTTATTGATTTATTAGTTATATTGATTATTTAATTTTTCTGGGTGGACTTTATTATCTCACTTGAGGAATGTAAAATTCATTTTATCAAGTCCTATATAATACATGTAGACTCCCTCAAATAAATTTATTGGCGGAATACACCTTATGGAATTCACTCCACATTGTATTTCAATGATCTGATTTTAAGTATTCCTTCAAAGATCATATATGCAAAAATCACTTGAATCAATCCATTCGACCATTCAATTAAATGGTTGATATTATAGTGTTTTTTTAAGCATCATGTTTGTCGATTTTGTTGGTCACAACTAGATGTCCTAAACCGTTTCCTATTTGTCTAATTTTTTGCAAGGATGATTTATGAATGAAGACTATAAAAATAAACAGTTCATATTGTTGAAATAAAGTTTTTAGTGGGTCCCATAATGTGTCGCTCAAATAAGATTATTTGAGTCATCCCTCAATATATATTCACACACCAAATACTTAGAAATGTCTCCAATTTGCGAAGAGTTGAATATAAACATCTTTTGTTTTTGTCAATGAATTAACTATATTGGTAGTTGGTTTACATTTGGAAATTATCTTTCTATTTCTCATGTTTTTTTTTTTTTTTTTTTTTTTTTTTTTTTTTTTGGCAAAGAAGAAGATCTTCTGTTAGACGCATATGAATGAGGGGAATTTCTCCATTGCGAAGTCAGAAGATGCGGACTGGTTACGAATTTCTGTTTTTGACCGTTGGATGATTTCAACGCTTCAGATTGGACTTTTTTTTTCCTTCTTTCTTCCTCTCCCCGATTTCAGTCTTCTCTCTCTCCTCTTTCTTTTTTTATTTCCTTTCCTTCCATCTCTCTTTCTTCTTCTTCTTTCTCTCTTGCTTTTCTTCTTCTTTCTTCTTTCTCTCCCCGAGTTCACTCTTCTCTCTCTCACTCTCTTTCTTTTTTTCTTCTTCCTCTTGTCATGGGTGATTTTTTTCTTCTCCTCTCAGCTGGAAAACTGGGCGTTTCCCCTTCTCTCTCTCCTCTCTCTTTCATTTTTTCTTCTTCATTTTCTGAGAATGATTTGGCTACAATGTGCTGGGGTTGGCTTGGGGCAAAAAATTGTCTCGACGTCGGCTTCTATTGGCCTCTTCTTCTACCTTTGTTTAATTTTTATTTTTATTTGGAAAAAAAATTGAAGAGAAAGATAATAAAAAAAAAGGGTTTGTCCAATATAGACCCCTACATTTTCTATTTCCTAGACATATACCCATCACTCTATAAATCTTTGGGTAAAACCCAATTTCAAATTTAAATGACCAGTAGGATATAAGAGGTCGTAGTATTTCTATGTTTTTACATCGTTGCCACTAAACTTCATATTTTATTTATAATTTTATTTCAAGCATTTCATTAACTGCCATAATTGTAATTAATATACTCCCTATTAATAGCATATCAATCACCCCATTTCTTTTAGTTGTTATTCCCTCTCACATCTCGCCCACTAAAATTGCAAACAAAAAAAAAAATCTGTAAATTACATATCCAATAATGTACCTATAAAAAATATAATATAAATATATACATATAATATATATATTTATATAAAAAAAAAAAAAAAAAAAAAAAAAAAAACAAAGTTACTTTGTAATTGCATATATTTTTCATAATTAAAAATAGGTACACAATAATTTATATTAAATATAGGTACATTATTTACCCACATGTAAATTATTTTACAATATACCTGTAAATGTGTATAGGTACATTATTTGGAGAGGAAAAATAGGTACGTTATTTGGAGAGAGAAAATAGGTTCATTTAAAAAAATTGCTTTTAATAAAACAAATAATAGGTACTTTATTCAGAGAAAAAAAGGCTATATTATTTATAGAAAAAAATAGGTACATTAATTAGATAAATAATAGGTACTTTATTCGTAGTAGGTATATTATTCAAATGGTAGGTACATTGGATGACATATAATACCTAAATCCTAATTGTAAGTACATTAAAATTAATGTAGGTATATTGGATGTCGTATAATGTAGGTATATTGGAATAGATAATTATGTACACTTTTCATACTAGGTAAATTATATTTTTCATAAAACAAACAAGTAATAGGTACATTATTTTTTCAACATAAACAATATGTACAGTTTTATTCATAAACAATTATAAAGTGGATTATTAGTCATGTATAATTCATAAAAAGAAAATAACATAAATATTTTATTAAACAAACCGATTACCCAATTTTGAATTTATTGTTGATTTTTTTTTAAAATGTTTCAAAATTAATTCTTACAACCATTTGGAGATCTTTCCAAATTCAACATCTGTCATTGTATACAATCCAATTAAAAACTATTTCCATATTGATTCATACATTAATATACAAAATGCAATAATGGCTTAGTTGGGGGTATTTTTGGAATATGAAAAGTACAATAAATCAGATTTTATGCTTAATTAGGTAACTTGCTGAGTTAGATCCTAGTCATGGGTTTTTACTTATACAAATTGGGTATTATTTATAGGAACAAAAAGTGAAGGGTTTTAGGTACGACAAATTGAATTTAAAGGGTGTAAGCCAAATTTACTATAAAAAAAACCCACAGACGCAGACCCATTCACTCCCCTCATCCCCTCTGTTATTTCTCTGCCGTGACCTGAAGAAAAAAGATAACAAAAAAACTCCACTGTAATAATGTGTTTGCCCTCTTTTGTAATAGTTGACCACTGCTAGGAAAGAAGAAACAGGAGAGAGAGAGAGAGAGAGAGAGAGAGAGAGAGAGAGAGAGAGGATAGGGAAACGCAGGAAAAAAAAAGAAAAAAAAGAAACGGAGAGAGAAGAGATAAGGAATAAAGGGAAAGGGCAGATTCTTGAAGCTGAAGTTTGGGGCTTTTTTTATTGGGCTTCAGTTGGCTATTGACAAGGGTATTAGCGAGCTCATTGTTGAAATGGATGCTGCCACAGTTGTCCATGTTGTCCATGTACAAGTCAATAATGCTTCGAATTGGCATCTTCAATTTTCCAGCGAAGCAATCCGACAAAAAAAAACATGCAATTGTTTTGACTTTGGACTTTGGAGGGTTGCTGCTTAGGTAAGTGGTATACGTCATAGGACGAGGCACAAAGTTTACGGTGTTTTAAAGTTTTTCAATAGAGTAATTTTTTACAGAAATATTTTTAAACTAAGTACCTAAACTACAAGTGGGATTCAGAACATGGGGAGGGGTGGATTAGGAAGGTTCAATAAGTCAACGCTAGGTGCTCAATACAACGATTCTTGGAGAGATATACAATGCAAGTCAACGAGTCGATCCTTCATTTTTCCAGCTAAGCATGCAGTTGTTTTGAATTTGAAGGTTGCTGATGCTGATATATGAAATACATCATAGCATTTCGTATCTAAATCATGCCACGCCGCATGGTTAATTATAAAAATATATGAATCATTCCTCCTCCACGGGGTGTCATGTGCTAAGAGCATCTATAGTAGGAGGGTGTATTTTTGGGGGTGTAAAGTCACTTTTACATCCCCTTTACATATCCGATGGTTGTAAATGTGATTTTTGCTCCAGTGGGGAATATGTATAATTGATTTCTTTAACCTTTTTTGTTGTAGGTCCCACTTTTGTCCACTTTTTCTCATATAGGTCTCACCTGCAAGAGATGTAAAGAAATATGTATATGTGTATCTAAATTTGCATCTCATGGTGGTGATGCAAATTTACACTGGTTTACACCTCTCTATTGCGGGTGATTCTGATCACAAAAGGTGTATATTTAACGTACACCTCATTATACACCCTCCCATTGTGAATGCTTTAAGAGCCTATGACCCGGATGCAAGCAATATTTTATTTGGATACATCAGATTACTTCGTATGCCATCCTCATGAAGAGTCTCATCCGTTCCAAAGAGGATATCAAACTCCTTCAGAAAAAAAGGATCATAAATCCAAGTTGGGTAGGAGACCAATATTTGATTGATTTAGGAAATATTCTTGATCATGTTCATCCAAAGGACTTCTGCTTTGGCAAGCTGTGTGAGGACGCGAATGCTTACAGTAAGTCTTGGTTTCACTGGCACAAACACAAAGTACGTTGGATGGTGCAGTTTCGGAGACACATAAGGTGTCTTTGTAGCACATATTTCTCCAGTCCATGGAGTATCATAGCATTCTTGGTTGCGGCTGCCATTTTGGTCTCACTGGCACAGACACACTGCGCCATTCACCCTCGCTAATAACTTGCCGATATCACCTACTGTTGTTGACGCAGAAAAATGGTTCGGCACTTTCCCGAGCAACTTAGTGATTTAGTTTTCCTTTGGTATGCTGTGGCCTCGGTAGGTCGTTATACTTGTAAGATAATGAACGCTCGGTAAGTCCTAAGGCACCGGTGTGGTACCGGCCGAAGGCTCTCCGATGCTTAAGTAAGTACGTATTTAGTAAAGTTGAACTACAGATCAATAGGCAATGTGCCGTAAGTTCTGATTGATTACCTTCAAGTTGGGATGGTTGTCCTCTTTTATAAGCCTTGGGAGGTGTGCAATTTGTTTAGAGTTTCGATGTGGGATTGTGGACATCAGTTGTGGGACTGCCACGTGTCGAAGGGGGTGAAGTTGCCCTAATGTTGCGATCAGTAGGGTTGGTACCGAAGGTAGGTGCCGAAGGCATCCATGGCCCTGGTTTAGTCCACGTATCCGATATTCATTGGTTGTTCATTTTGGTATAAACAACTGTCACTGTTGGACGCAAAAGTGAATCTTCAGAATAAGGAAATGTCTTGAGAAATCCAAAGTTCAGTTTTATTTTCTATTACCATTTCGTTGACGTTGGAACAAATTATTTTGTATTAGCCGCAGAAATAATAAATTAAGGGCCTCTTTTCTAGGGAATACACATTTTCTATTACCTTATATAAGTTTACCTTTTGTACCCCATCATTGGAAGTTATATGATGCTTGTGACCGGTGCCCTTCTGAAATTTGTGCCTTTTATGATTGTTGTAATGAGCCTTCGTGGCAATTTGCATGAAAAATAAAATAAATAATTCTATTCTAGGGAGTCGTCAAAATATAAAAGGATTTTTAGGTCAAATGGTTCATGAATTTTGGTCTGATTCACATTTTAGTTCTTCTATTTCCAAAATAATAACGGTAGTCCTTGAACTTCACTTTTGTTAGGAATAAAGGTTCTATAGTTTGTTTTGTTAGCTTTTAATAGTCAATTTTGATCATGTGCATGACATGAGGGACAAAAGGGAAAATTAATTGGCTCATGATTTAGGAGAAATAATTCCTCCTTAGAAGATGACGTGGCCCACTAACAAGATAACACATGTTTTAAAATAAATAAAAAATTATAACTCGATAGCATGGTTTTTAACTCAGGCTGTTTCTCTCTCTCTATTTCCAGTCGGCTAGCCCACTGGCCACTTAACCACCGCCGAACTCGCCATCCAACACCCAAGCCGACACACCAACCAACCACAACCCAACCCAGACCCTTTGATTACTTTACACACCCAACATCGCGTGCCCCTTGAGTTCGTTAGGGAAACGTGATATTGGTCAAATAAAATATAAATTAAGTAAATGAATACTTAGTCGTCGTAAATCTGAATAATTTGGAGACTCTCGCGTTGTGAAAGGAAGTACAAATATATTATTACAAGTTGATATCACTTAATTAATTTAGTCTTTGCCTGTTTGGAGAGGGTACGATGCTTCTCGTCAGAGGTTTAGGTCACTCACAATCCGTCATCAATGAAAATTCTTTTTTTTTTTTTTTTTTTTTTTTTTTTTTTTTAAAAGAAAACCTCTGACGTTTTTCAGTTTAGTCTTTGTTAATAACCCCTTCGTTGACGTTGGAATACAAACAATTTTGTAGTAGCTGGAGGAGTAATGAACTGAGGTCTCTCTTCTAGTAGGAAATGCACATGAAATTACGTACAGCTGTGAGCATGTGACCATCTTCTTCCTTGCCGGCCCCTCGCTCAGAATATTATACAATTAATTTTTACATGACATGGAATTGCTCACACCACACGCAAGGGAACTGGTGGTAGGAGGGCAGGTGTGGCGCAGCTTGGTGCTAGGAGATGTGGCACGAAATGCGCCGGTGTTATTGGTGGTTCAGTGGAAGAAGATGAGAGAGGATATGCAGCGTTAATCTTGGTGGGGTAAACTTGTTTTTTTTTTTAATAGTTTCAATTTTTAATGTTTGCATTAACCATTAATATTTTGAATGTTTTACCATTCTTTGTCTTTTGTTTTATGTATATAGATTTAACTGGCCATTTTATTTGACATGTCATATACACATAACTTGTCATATAATACAGTCTGTTAAATGTGATAAATTAAGGTGATACAAATAGCATTACTGTATCAGTGCGTTTGGATGAGGAAATTTAAAAGTATAAAGAAATTCATAAATAACAAAATTTAAAATGACAGAAATTGATGTTCTAGAATTTGTTATTGTTTGAGTAATGGATTTAGAGTGTGGAATTTAACCTTTATTTGTAAAGTTAATTAGTTTTTTTTTATAACTCAATCTCTCTTGGAATTTTAGAAATGACGACTTTTAGATAGAATTTTGTTTCACCCTTTTTGCTTGTGTTCCTGTGATGGTAAGGTAAAAATCCCCATTGGCCTGGAAACCATCTGTGGTCAATAGGTCAACTTTCTTTTGGAGAGCGTGCCACTGTCAGTTAAAAACCCTAACAGACTTGTAAAAATGTAGATAACTTGCGCTTCAAGTCATTGACTTTAATCAAGTGATTGTGATGTTGGGTGAGGAATGTCTTCCCAAGATAAGTTCTTTTCTTGCCTCAGATTGGTAAAGACTTCATAATTTATTTCAGTAAAAACAACTGGCAGTTCTAACCAACATAAACTGAAACTGTTTAAAATACAAGTTGACTAGGCATTTAAAAAAACAAATAAAAGCTGCAAAGTCTAAAAAGACAGATGATTGACTTTGACTTTTGCCTGTTTCGGTGGAAAGGGGTGGACTGGAGTGAAAAAACACATACTGGAATTGCACGTCAGTATCTTCAATTGGTGTGGGTCAGCTGGAAATCAATACCAATGTTGAAATTGGCAGAGCTTCAATCTGTTCTCGCCAGAAAAGAACCTGTTTTGCTTATTATAAGTCAAACAAGAATTGTTCTGACAGTTCTGAGCACTTGGAATATCTTTGTAAATTTGTTGAGGTTTTCATATTATGAAAAACCCGATTGCTACTTGAGTTGGCCTGAGCTAAACCAAATTTGTAACGGCAGAAAGTTGAATCCTGCTTGACTTTCAGAGTCAGATTGGACTTACAACGAGAGAAATCTCTTTTCCTTGGCTAATGATCTGTTTTCCTGGGCTAGATTGAGCGTTGAAACCTAGGTTTCACCTACTTTGCTGAAAGATGAATGATTTTTACAACCTAGATAGCTTGATTTTTTCTGAATTTGGAGATTCTTGAGATCGAATGATCTTTGGTTTCTGTCAGTTTTGACTATGAGAGTGATTGAGTTTTGTTGTTGAGATGTTGATTGTCCATTTGGTAGTCACCTCTCTCTGCATTTATTGACACCTGGGAACCGTTTGTTGAGAAGCTGTGAGAAGTCATTTCTACCCGTTCCCATCACTTCCCTGGAATACCTCTCTTCTTTTCAGCTTTATTTCACGTGGGTCTTCGATGATAGTGGGTAGAATTCCCTTTTCCTTGTCTAAATTGCTTTCTAAATTGGGTACCTGTTAGAAATGAGGCTGGGCTTCGTTTAATTTTAAGAGATATTTAGTAATATACCCATTATTAGCACTAAAACTATAAATAAACCCTACATTATTTAAAAACTATAAACAAACCCAAAAAATAATAGCTGGCCTTATTGAATTTAATTTTAATTATTAAATTACTTTGATGTCCCATTAAGTGTTTTTGGCTTTTTATGAGATTTTTGGGTTGAGTTTGTTTTAAGAAATCAATGGCAATTTTGTAATTTAAAAAAGTTAAAAGCCTTTTTTGTTATGTTATAAATGAGTTTTTGGTGTATTTCTAAAGTCCATTTCACATAGGGTTTTTTTTTATAATTTGGACTCCTATATTGGGTATTATAGTGAATCTCCCTAATTTTAATTACCAGTAATAGTAATTAAAATTTACCCTCATGGTAACACCTATAACTGTCCAAATTGACTCGGGCCTCTCTAATTCTTAGGGCTGCTCTCTAACTTCATTCAACACACCAAGCCCAAGTTGAGTTTGGGATTGTGGGCTACACAAATGGCCTGGGCCTCTCCAACCTTCGGTATATTTTGGCAGCTATCATAACCTGACTTGGGCTCCTTCAATTTTGGGCTGGTTCCCTTTTCTTCAATTTCAGAGCCCAAGACTGTTTATTATCGTGGGCCATAAGATTCTGGGCTGGACGTGTAAATTTCAAACCCAAGTGATTTAAATATCAAGCCCAAGCTGAACTTGTTACTCATGGGCTAATAGTTGTTGGGCTGGCGTGCAGAATTTAGGTCCAAACAAATTTAAAGTTGGGATTTATGATCTCCAAATTCCATGATTTTTCTCTCTCCGAATCTCTAAACTTTTATGTTTTTTTTATCCAAATAAGGGAAAGTGTGGTTTTATCATATGGACTCTCACACTAATAGAATTTTATGCTTTCAATTAGTTTTCAAGCCAATAAGAGGTGCTCACGCATTCCATTTTGATTAAGTTTAGGTCTTAAACCGCACATCAAACCAACATATGACAAAATATATTTACACTATGCCAAATTTTACTTTACACCACACCACATAAGTATCGAAAAACCTAAAAACCGATGATGTAAGTATATTAGGCATCGGTTTTATAAATAATCAGACTAAAAGTATATAAAAACATCAGCAAAAATTTCAAGCTTTGCCTACCCATGCCATTGATGCTACTTTAGCATATATGGTTAAATATATCGATACCTATTCGTTGGCGTATTCTCACACTCTTTATTGGCGTTACTAAATTAAAATCCATGATATCGATTTCATAACACTTATTAAAATAATACAAAACGTATTCTGTGACAAGAAATACTATTTCTGTTACCAAAACGCTAGTATGTTTTTCCAACTACAGCTATCGATCGACTCCACTAAATTAGAAATGTGATTGTAAATAAAGATTATGTATTTATGTTTGTTCATTACAGAGGGTTTGAATACATTCAATGCAAGCAGGTGGTCGTTAG